GGTTAAGGATAAAGTAATACAAACAGTAGTAACGAAGATGACATTTGCACTACTGGGGCATAATCAAAAGCCAAGGGCTTGTACTGAAATGCCTTGAAAACAGACGGCCAGACAACAGATCACAGGACTACCAAACAGGCAAGAAATGATAAGATGACAGACGGACAAGACGGACGAAAGAAATTTGTTCCAGGCTTGATCAAGAGGTGTTTAGGCTTGCCTTTCAGCTTCGGTTCATCACAGTGAACTCGTTTCATGAAGTTTGAAAATGAAATTGAGATGTGAGCTTGGAAGGTTTACTTCTAAGTCAGATATCCATTTGGAATGAGCATCCAGTTATAACGACATTTTTTGAAGGGCACCAATAGATGTTTTACAGGATTTTCAATCTCGGATCATTACTCAACTTATGACCCTAGTTTACCATTTTCAAACTTTGTAATTGAACATGGATACACATCCAACCACACACAGAGGTTAGCATTTCATACAGAAGAAGGACATTCCTGTATTTCCTTGTCCATAAGAACACTCTGCAAAAGTACTCAGTTACAGATAAGCCTGACCCCTAAATGATTCCAAATCTGCTTTTCAGAGAGGGAATCTAGCTTTGTGTGGACCTAACTTAGTCTACGGAAGGTTCCCACAGCCTGCATTATATGGACCTGCTTTGTTCCGAGGTCCACACAAACATTGCGCATACTGGTTGGCACAATCATACATACATGTACATGAGCTTACCCACAAGAAGTCTGTCAATGTACTTTTTCTTTGCCGTACTTTGGCAGATCCTCCTTGGAGTCCCAATTGCACCCGTGTGGTTACATACGAGGAGGGCTTGAATATGGCTCAGAAACTCAACTTGGAATACACTGAGATGACTGGGCAGCTGAACTTAAATGCGGAAGAATGCTTCGAGAAAGCAGTGAGTGAATCCTCTGGAGGGGTTTTTGTTGCAGAAGTCGGGTTTAATTTCTGCATGGTGTAGAAGGTCAAGTCAACGGGCTGTCAGAGAGTACAGCTGAGTATGATAGCTTTGTCATTTTAATCATTGATAGGCTAATGTAAGATTGTTTGAACTCCAGCACTGATGAGGGATTCCTTTTTTCCCCCTAGGTTTATATTGCTGATGAAGGAAAGACACCAAAGAAGAAGAAAACTCTCTTTGGTTTAAGCTGGAGAAAGTCAAAGCCCCGCCCACCACCTGAAGTACCCCCAGTAGGTAAGCCTGTCCGATCACCTGAGACATTACTTGCATTGCTTGCAACATTGCTTGTCGTCTGTCCATGGTTCAGTCATTGTAGTAGGCTCACAACATTGGGTTTTCTAGATGTTGCTTGAGAGACTCGACTGTCTTGATAAACACAAAACTTTACTTTTTCTCTGAGTTGGACAGCCCATTCAGTAACAAATATTTTGCCAACAAACGTGATGATTAACTTGTTGATGCCTGTTGAGACAACTCTTCCTCTTCCCTGCTTCATAAGAGGATGGGGCTCAGATTCACATTCCTTGTGTTTTATTGCCCCAAGATGAAGCCCCTCGGATTGAAATCCAAACCTCAACCATCGCAGAGGACTTTGGCAAGGCGTTGGAGCAGCCAGCCTTCTCTGACGTCGTCTTCATCGTTGAAGAGAAGAGCATCTTGGCTCACAAAATGGTGCTGTGTAGTGCCTCCAACTTCTTCTGTTGTGTGTTTGGCCAGGACCCACCGGACCAGGTTGGCTGCGTTTCTTCTTTACTTCACCCACATTTCCAAGAGCAGTACAAATGATGCCAAAAAATGATGATTGACAGTGTCAATTCAGTGTTTATTTTTCTGAAAATGTCTATCTGATAATAACATGTCAAATAATAAGTTCTGCAGTAATCCACTCTGTTTTGTGTATGGAGAAAACAGCCCAGTGTTTGCCTTTTCTGATTTCATCACATGATTTATTTTAGGATACAGCCAGCCATCCCTCAGTCATGAACTTTACCTGGGAGGATATCAACCAGGGCAAGATTACTGGTTTAGCTGGTATCCTGTGATGAAGTGACCCCAGAAGGAAGTCTGCTTGAGAAAGCAAAGACCCAGGTGATGATCAGTGCAGACATCTCTTACAAGACCTTCCTCTATATCGTGGAGTTTCTGTACACAGGTAATGACAAAACTCATATTTTTAAAACCAGAATTTGTTTTTCCACTTCCTTGTTTCACCTTTGGGTATCCAGCCACTTAATAACATGTCTCGTTACAGTAGTTAATCTTTTGGCATGTATTCATCTGTATGTGAATGGTTCCTGGAATTCCATGAATGTTGCCAACATAAATGTCACTAATTATACACCTGAACTTCTTCAGAAAATTCACTGTAGAAGCCAGTCATTGGCAAGAGATCTTCATGGGTAATCAGTGTGGTCTTTTCTCTTCAAAATATTATGTGTGTCTTAGGTAAAGTGGGAGAGTAGACCATTCCAACCTTCCCAACTTTCCAGAAGCCCTCTTTACTGAGTTTACTATAACACCCCAGAAACTTAACTGCTTACCGTAATTTTCGGAATATGAGCTGCCCAGTGCATTAGCTGCAGCACGCAAACATAAGCAAATTAAGATTTAAAGTTGGCATAGAAGCCGCACTGGGCCGGTCTATAAGCTTCACCACAGCCTGACGATCCAACTACAAAGGTGCTGCATGCTGAAGCATCAGTAGAGTGCACCAATGATTCCACTATACGTGCAATCCTAATAAATTTAAGAAAAGGCAAAAGAAAGTGAAGTCCTCAAGTTTAATCATTTTTGTGGGCTGTTCTGTTTTGCCCTTTTTTCCAGCGGCCAGCAAATGTTATGGGGTCGGGGACGTACAATAAAATCTCAGTAACTCGAAGTGAGTTAAGTTGAAAGATCGTTATATCTCTTAGGCCGACTATTTTTGCCCAAAGAATAGGCTTTTATGTAAAAAAATTTCCCTTTATAACTGCCCTCAACATATCATCTGGTTATCTCGAAGTTTTTGTGACGTCGATCAATAAAACAATGCCAAGTCGCCTAAAAAATGAAAAATCTGCCAGAAGACCTTGTTCAAGTCGTAACATTGGAACTGCTTGTGTTGCATGCAGCATGTAGTTGCATGCAGCATGCACAGCACACGCGCTGCACGCACCACCACGATCGAGACAAATCCCGTTTTTCGGCTAGCCTGACTGCTGCCATAGACCCATTCATGGAGAGTCCAATCGCCGACTCTTTTCGATAACCATGTGACCACAGAAAGTGTTGTCATCAGAAAACCCAAGTGAAAAAAATTCTGATATTCTTTGGCATGTCACGCCGAGCACGATCGGCAAAAAAGACAAAAGATCTGCCACTCAAAGGTACACCACTGAAGCGGTTGATTTTTATTTAAGGGTAGAAAGAAATCTTTAGGCAACAACTGTAAAAAATATCTCAGTAAAATGATTATTTCTCTGATAAAAAAATACTCAATGAGAATGAATAAAAAGCAGAAAAATAATCAGTAAAAAATGTTGCCACAGCAGAGCACGTAAAGTTTAAGATGACTCGGGGAATTTGTTAATAGCTAGAAGTCCGGACAACTCAAATTTTTATTTATCCTCCAACATTCAAGTTATCAGATGTACACAGCAACCAAGGAAAACATGATTGTACCGCCCGCATGTTGTATGTGTGGCCCAGCCGCAACGTCTGGCATATAAGCCACCCAGCATATAAAGTGCAGCACGCAAAAAAAGTGTGAGAATCTACATATAGGCCTTGGCTTATATTCCAAAAATTGAGGTAAATTCTGCCTTTTTGAACCTTTTCTGACATTACAGGCTTTCCCAGCATTACAGATGGGACCAGCACAGAGGACCTAGTGGCTTTACAGAAAGCATCCAATACATTCTCCTTGCCTATGCTGGACAGCATCGTCAAGAACCTACAGAATGATGGAAAGTTCCTGAATCCTAGCATTGGAACCTACCTGAATGACCAGACAGGACAGAGGGCCAAGTGGTTGTTCCTGAACAAACAGACACTGTCTGATATCCGATTCAAAGTTGAAGGTAGGCTGTGTCCCCCTTATCTCTTCTTGCCTGTTCCTCAGGATGTCCACGGTTATTGGTGAAGAACAGTTTCCAGTGGGACTGGTTTTTCGATGTATTTTGGTGATGTGGATTTTGAAAGGTTTTGTCCCAAAAACTGGAATAGACAGCATTAAACACTGAATTCTTATTTGAGAATAGCAACAATGACATTCTCATTGTTTTAGCTTGGTTTAACTCTACCACTTACCCCATCAGTCCCATTATGCAAAAACAGAAAAGAATGTCACCTGTTTTTTTTTCATTCTTTTTGCAAAGGCGCAACGGTCTACGCTCACAAGGTGATGCTGATATCTCGCTGTGAGGTCATGAATGGAATGTTCAGCGGAGACTTCACTGAAAGCAGCAAAGATGAGGTAATTTGGGTCTGGGCCTCTTTAGGGAGCAAGACTTTAGATTCGGGGAGAAACGATTCTCGGGTAATGAAACTGAGAGGCACACACTGTACTAGAGGGGGACTTGAGTCCACGATAAGTCATTTTCAAATCAGATATGACACCTTTCAGAGTTGTAGCTGCTTCCAACTTTGGCCCGTTTCTCTAAGAAGCAGTCATAAGAATACTGATGTCAGTTCTAATTGTGGGTGTTGCTGTAGGGCTAGGTCAACATATACCAACTACCCTAGAGTGGTGTGCTGCAGACTGCTAGGCCTCATGACACTGCTTGATAAAACTCTTTGACAGCTGTAGGTAAGTTACATTTAGCTGTATACGTAGTAACCTCAAGCGAGACATTGAGGAGAAATCATGTTGGAATTTTGTTCTTGTGATGTTTCAGATTAGAATTGAAGACGTGAGTCTGGAGTGTTTCTTGGCCCTCCTGGAGTACCTGTACACTGACCACGCCCCTATAGAGGAGGGTGATGCCGTGGGGATCCTTGTAGCCGCTGATCAGTATGGCCAAGATCGACTGAGAAATCTCTGTGAGCTGTACATCTCCAAGGGGGTAGATGTGACAGAGGAACATGTGGATGTCATTGGACTGTTGCATACAGCCCAGGTTGGAAAGATTTTCTTCCAAGTTCTAAAATGAGCACACCGGGTTCTAAAACATTCATTCATACAAGTCAAGTCTGGTTCTGAATGCCAAGTCCCCAGAATGTGCAGTCTAAATTTAGTCAAATGTTATTACTGCAGGGCTGTAGGAATAAATCTTTTAGATAATGTCACTTATTTTGTTCAGATCATTCCGGGAATTTTAGGCTTTTTTTGGCATACCTACTCTTTACAAAATCATGGGGACTTTTTAAATGTCAGCTTTTTCGCTACCAGAGAAAAAGTCCTTTTAATAACATTTCCAGCAGATTTATGTTGGATTTATCTCACAATCTCTATCATTCTACTCTCCATTAAAGTTGTTATTTACATTTCACTCGTATTTTAGGAGATTAACCAACATTTTCTTCATATTTATGATTTATTATGTGGTTGGTCATTTGACAGATGTGCAATGCCAGCCAGCTTGCCGAGTGGTGCCTTGGTCTCATTTCCCGTAACTTTGTGGCCTTCCAGCAGCGGGCGGAGTTTAAGAAGCTGGAGGGGGAGAACCTGAAATATGTCACTGAGAACCGCTGGCCTCCTGCGAGCTACCTGAAAAAGGTGGAAAAATACAAGGCTCAGTGGGGGAAGAAAGGGGACAAAGTATGACAGAGGGGAAAATGAGATGTTTATTCTGTTTGGTTCTCAGTTTTTTAAAAAGAATTTAAGATGCGGATAAGGTTTTCATGCATTTTGTTTACCGGATAAGTTAGGCTTTCAATGCATTAAAGCTGGTTTTAATCAAATCAATTAGTAATTAAGAATTATATATAGTTTTTATACTTTTATACATGTTTTATTCTATAGGTCAAATAAACCTTTTCATATGTTTCAAGGTTTAGTATTTATTACTCCTGGAAAACTGTATGTTTGGAAACAATCATTTCCCCTTTCTGTTAGTGCAGCAACCTTGTGTCTTTATATGTATGGCCATGCTGGTGTGAGAAGCAGTGTAATGAATAATGTACATATAAGTGTTATGGTATTGCCAAGTTAGTGGACTTGGTTTTTATATGGATGTAGCAGAATGTATCTAAGAATCATTCCCTCCAACTCAAGGACGATGCTGGTACAATTTCCAAAGTGGTAAAAAATATGAATTGGCATGGTGGGGCTAGTTCCCCACACCCCAAGTGCAGGATACACCTGCTTGTCATCAGCCGATATCTAATGCGTATTACACGACGAACATCTAACAAAAGTAACACAGTGCATTAACAATGAGCGTCCATTGGTATTGCACCGTGCTTCTTTTGTTAGATGTTTATAGCGTTAGTGCCGAAATATTATCAATTTGGAATTATTTAGTCAGAGGCCCTTCACACTTATAACTTGGGAAGAATAACAGCAATTTACTAACCAACTGAATGAAAATTGGCATATTTAATAAATGATTATGTTAATGAAACTCAAAGTCTCTCTTGTTAAAGCAATGAATTCTACGTTCACATGTTTTTCGTGAAATTTCCTACTCCTCTCCGTGAAACTATTTACCTCCCTTCGGGGTTAAGTGTATTGAAAGAAGCAGTTTCTAAACTTTTTAAATAGTTCAAGCATGCTATGAGAGTGCAGTTGTGGTAATGCTAGTCAGTGAGGACACTGTTGATTTCATAGATTTTTCTGTTCAAATTATAATAAACAAGATGCCCTCGATGAAAGCTTCGCTCGTTGGTTTATTGCACGATGAATCACCACAGAAAATCTGCATCGGCTCAGCCTCAGTCATCGCTCATCGTAGCCCCACGGAGATACCACTTTTTTGTCGGTTGGTTGTGAAAATCAGCCCTCTGAAAGAACTCCACTGCGTGAAAAGAGTATACAGTCAAGACATGGCATTCCAAACCCTGCACACTCAAAGAATGTCCGGGTATGGAAAATACGTTTTGTATATACTGTATTGATTAGATGTCAATCAGTGCCCGTATTTTGCTTTTAGGGCCGATCAGAAGTACTTCATTAATCGATGACGCGCACCCATGTTCGATATTGGGCGTTAACCTTCTCGTCATTTTTTCTTATAAAATCTTGTAACTTTTTATCGGCCTAAAAGTCACAATCAGGATAATGACTTGGGTAAGTTTTCGTCTCTGGATATTTCAGGACCCCCTAGAACATTTTGCATTTATTTACTTTGTGGTTAATGCAACACCCCATTTTGAACTCGGCCAATAGGACCAGAAGATGTCGATATTTTCCCCCACTCTATCGTGGCTGCGCTTTAGCATAGTGGCTGTCGCCCTTAACCCCGACTGCAAACTATAGTTCCCCGTAGAATGATTGCTACAGCAAAGTTTGAACATTAAAGGAGACAATCCCTGAAAAGCTGTGGCGACTCGGCCTGATGTTTGTAATTCTGTAACATTTGTGGGGTCAACTACTCGTGAGTACTCGCGGCAGCTAGAGTAACCGCGCGCGACTTAAAAATTTATTAGTGAAGGATGGCACAAATTAACGCCGGCCACCGTAGCAATTACCGGCAGTTCACTTTCAACATGGATGCTTTCAAGCAATGCGTTTGTGACTGGAAGTTGAGTTTCATCTTGGAAACGAACTACCAGCCTTTGCTTCGCCAGAAAAGCCCCCCCCCCGCGATTGAATCCCATCCCATATGAAGCGCCCGCCGGGGGACGCTTCGCACGCACTAGCGATTGCACGTTCCGATTGGATGAACACGCAAGTTGCGTGTTCACTTCCGGGTTGATGGTTCATAATCTGTGGGCGTGGACTATGTACATGTACAACGTGCATTCGTGCTTCTCGCGCAATGTTGTGATAAACTGCGCTGGGACTGTAGCAGCCTTCATGTACTGATCATGCACCTGAGCTGTGAATGTTATCCCTTCCAAGCCTTTTTACCATGACTATCTAGTTATTGCTTGTGATACTGCCTTGACTGCCGCTTCCGAACTGTGGCGACCAGGAACCTGTTTTTCACGTAAGTCTCGTCTCCCAAGGAATGTTTTTACTTGTACATAAGAAAAAGACCGAGGATTTTTTTAAAGTTCAAGGCTTCAGAAATTGTCCGAATCACACGGAGCAATGAGCATCCATTTTTCTCACCTTTTTGCCACAGTGCTAGAAAGGAGAGTCCACTCAAAATCTGAAGTTTTGCTAGGGTTGTAACTTAAGGCCAGCTTAGCTAGGGAATCCAGAGCATTGTCTTTGAACATTCTGAACTTATAACTTTTTAATTTAACCTGCTTGTGTGTCTTGTCTTTCGTATTATCATTATGAATATTTGTATTATATTTTTTACCCTGCCAGGCCTCTTCAGGGTTACCCCCCTGTTTTTATTGCCTGTGTCTCAGCCTGCCCCTTTCTTTCACTGTTTGTTTTGTATTTTCCTTTTTCTCCAATAGCAGGGGCGATGGTCCGATGTTTTTGTCGTTTGGTCGATGTTTTTGGGTGGTTTACCATTGTTTTATAATTTTATTGATGCAAATCCTCCCATCAATTTCGTAGTGTGTCGCAGATGTGAATACCAATAAAGGTATTTCAAATATATTGCCATCCAAAATAAAATAATCCCTGTTATTATAAGCTGTGTGTTTATTTTTGAATAGATTTCAAATATCAACAATGTCAACACGGTAGCAAGAGTGATGTTAAAAGCATGGTTAGAGTTCCTACAGTAGTTGTGTGTGAAGATCTGCTAAGTGCTGCAGTGGAATGGGCGATGGTAAGTATGAACTCCACATGAAGTTCAGAAGCATGAACATGATTAGAACCCTGTGAGCCAGAGATACATGATTGATACTCCCAGAACTGTGGGGTTCGACGTCCGCCCGGCCCCCACGAACGTTGTTGAAGTGTGGCAGGATTCATTTCATTACCACTTACGGGCCTGGGTGTCCTTTGGTGCCCTTTTTTTCGACTACAAATATTGTCTTGTGTTGCCAGGGAGAAAGATCAGCATCTGTATATATCTTCTCTGCATTGTTTAACATCCCACAGAAGAGAGGCTGAAGATTGTGTTGGTTGGGGATGACAAAGTGGGCAAAACCGGCTTCTTTCTCTCGTACTTCGAAGACACCTTCTCCAGTACCCCCCGAAAGTATGCCGACTACAGGGAAGATGCGATGGTCATTGATGGGAAAACTTTCCTTGTTCATGCTGTGGAAACATCTATTATGGTATGTGTCTGGAAAAAGACAATGGAAACCTGCTGGTTTGTTCAAAATTATTTCACACGTTTGTGCGGCAAAAATGTTTTGTTCGCAGTCAAATCATGTTGGTTGCTGAAACACTGTAAGCACATGCAAGAAATTATAAATGAATAAAATGATTTTCAGTGAATGAAATGAGTTTTAGTGTATGAAATTTAAATGGAATTAAATGTCATTTATTCCTGCCTGAAATGTAAATGCAGGGGCACCTAAGTTATATAGATGTGTCATTTGACCCCTGTTCACCGATTTTTACACTTTTTCCTGGCTCAACAGTGACAATATGACATGGATGATATGAATTTACATTGAGTGTCCTTGTTTTTCCATAGANTCCATTGTCCACATCTAATAGCTGGCAATAAGCCATTTGCGAGTTAAATTTGAATAAAATCTGGTACACTGAGTTATCTGATCACACATATGTAACAATTTGAATTCCTCAGAATAAAGACACTGTTGCTATACCTCGAGATTTGGGGCAAGCTTTTGCATAGCGACCACCATCTCTGGAATGGACTGGTGCCCTTCTTATCCATTGAAAACTATGATAGTGCAAGGCGTCTCTTATGTAAGCAAAACCTTGCCCCAAATCACAAGGTATGGCAAAAGTGCTTTTAGTCTGGAGATTTCAAATTGTTCTGTTTGTGTGATTTAAAGCACTCAATGTACCAGATTTTATTCAAATTTATCTCACAAATGGCTTTTTCCACATTTTCGTTATTGATGTTGGGTTGAAGTAATTTACAAACATGCTGGACGGATGCTGTATAGAACAGACACTTTTTGTGTGCAGGGAGAAGATTACTATCGTCTTCGACCTTTACTTGAGTATCCGGGAACTGACGTCTTTCTGATATGTTTTTCGGTGGAGCGCCAGTCTTCCTTTGAACACCTTGAATCAAGATGGCTGCCAGAGATCCGTCACCACATGCCCACAACTCCCATCATTCTTGTGGCCACAAAGATAGGCAAGTGCATGTGTTTATGAGTACATGTAGCCACAAGTTGGAATTTCACACAGGCTGGCTTGTGGATTGGGTTTTCAATTGCTGAGCGATTCTGTTCATTTTCCCAAGAGCATTTATGTGGATTTTCCGTATGGAAAAATTGTGAATTACACACAGCATTTAAAACCTTTATACTTTAATTTAGTCTGCCCAAATGAATGGTCCTTGGACCAAGAAATGTTGTTCATGGTTGAATTTGAGACTAATTTCGATGTTTGAACCTCCTTAAGGCAAGCTGTTTGGGGTTTTTGCAGATCTTCGCGGGAGTCCTCTGCACAGGTGTGTCACTTTTGACGAAGGCTTGAAAATGGCTCAGAAACATAACTTGCCATACATTGAGACAAGTGCACTCCTTCATGCCAGCAGGGTAAAGTGCCAAGGACAAGCTGTGAGTAGAATCCCGGAGAAATTACGTAGAGATTGGAAGTGATGGTGTTTTTTTTTCTCAGCCAGCAACATGTCTTTGGGTGACATACTGTTGTTGCGTTCATGCTTTTTGCATGTATCTCTCCGGTATATGGTCTTTGCAACCTGGTTTCTGCTTTGGCTTTACAAGAGACAGTTGATCTTATTTGCACCAACTTTTGGCTTTTACTTGAGGTCAACTGCATCATCTGATGTGTACAGCTCCTACCTGACAGGCCAGCAGAGAGCAACTTGGCAAATAACTACCTAGGCTGACAGACTGCAATTTTGCCAAGCTGACAGTCAGCAAATGATACCAGCTTATGATTTGAAACTCTACAAATAATCATTGACCGCACTGTTAATGTTGGGCATCCATTATGGGCGGTCTCAACCCTCCCAAGAAGTCTGTGCATTCTCAGTTGACTCGTCAAACGGGCACCCGAGAGTCAGTGGAGGTTTCACGTATTTGGATACTGCAACAAGAAAGGTTTACAAAATTCAAAATCTGAGGACAAAAGCGAGAACCGTTGGCATATGTCTGCCTTTTGTTGTTTTTATAGATTAGTGCTCATGGTATGGTATACCTCAGGTGGAGACAGAAAAATATAACAGAGCTGTGTGAGATAGTGAAGCCCCTTAAGAACCAAACAATGAAACAAACAAACAAACCACTAAACAGCCTCTCACTCAGTTCTCTGTACTTTGTGTCTTTCTTCAGGCAGCTGCTTGCAGTGGATTGCCTACTCTGGAAGTAGATGTTTTCCACCTTTATTTCTCCGTTCAGAGCAGGACTTCCCTGGTGAATGTTGAAACGAGATGGGTTCCAGAGATCCGCCATGCCATGCCTGACATTCCAATCCTCCTGGTTGCAACAAACATAGGCAAGTGCACAGGGGACATTCAAGACTGGTAGATTACAAAAGGCAACCTTTTTGCATCTACAACTGATTTTAACCGGTTTTATTCCCATTGCTGGATTTTCTTGACCGTCCCACATTTTAATCTTCCATAAACTTAAAAGTTCTTAATCCCACCACCTCACATCCAATCATGACCCTCCAGCAGTTCTGTCATTGCTAANTCACACATATGTAACAATTTGAATTCCTCAGACGAAAGACACTGTTGCTATACCTTGAGATTCGGGGCAAGCTTTTGCATAGCGACCACCATCTCTGGAATGGACTGGTTCCTTTCTTATCCATTGAAAATGGTGCATTGGTGCAAGGTGTCTCTTATGTAAGCAAAACCTTGCCTCAAATCACGAGGTATGGCAAAAGTGCTTTTAGTCTGGAGATTTCAAATTGTTCTGTTTGTGTGATTTAAAGCACTCAATGTACCAGATTTTATTCAAATTTATCTCACAAATGGCTTTTTCCACAATTTCTTTATTGATGTTGGGTTGAAGTAATTTACAAACATGCTGGATGCTGTATAGAACAGTCACTTTTTGTGTGCAGGGAGAAGATTACTATCGTCTTCGACCTTTACTTGAGTATCCGGGAACTGACGTCTTTCTGATATGTTTTTCGGTGGAGCGCCAGTCTTCCTTTGAAAGCATTGAGTCAAGTTGGCTGCCAGAGATCCGTCACCACATGCCCACAACTCCCATCATTCTTGTGGCCACAAAGATAGGCAAGTGCATGTGTTTATGAGTAGGACCTACATGTAGCCACAAGTTGGAATTTCACACGGGCTGGCTTGTGGATTGGGTTTTCAATTGCTGAGCGATTCTGTTCATTTTCCCAAGAGCATTTATGTGGATTTTCCGTATGGAAAAACTGTAAATTACACACAGCATTTAAAACCTTTATACTTTAATTTAGTCTGCCCAAATGAATGGTCCTTGGACCAAGAAATGTTGTTCATGGTTGAATTTGAGACTAATTTCGATGTTTGAACCTCCTTAAGGCAAGCTGTTTGCGGTTTTTGCAGATCTTCGCGGGAGTCCTCTGCACAGGTGTGTCACTTTTGACGAAGGCTTGAAAATGGCTCAGAAACATAACTTGCCATACATTGAGACAAGTGCACTCCTTCATGCCAGCAGGGTAAAGTGCCAAGGACAAGCTGTGAGTAGAATCCCGGAGAAATTACGTAGAGATTGGAAATGATGGTGTTTTTTTTCTCAGCCAGCAACATGTCTTTGGGTGACATACTGTTGTTGCGTTCATGCTTTTTGCATGTATCTCTCCGGTATATGGTCTTTGCACTGGCTCAAGGTGCCCAGTCAAAAAAGGTCGTCCACCAACCTGGTTTCTGCTTTGGCTTTATAAGAGACAGTTGATCTTATTTGCACCAACTTTTGGCTTTTACTTGAGGTCAACTGCATCATCTGATATGTACAGCTCCTACCTGACAGGCCAGCAGAGAGCAACTTGGCAAATAACTACCTAGGCTGACAGACTGCAATTTTGCCAAGCTGACAGTCAGAAAATGATACCAGCTTATGATTTGAAACTCTACAAATAATCATTGACCACTGTTGGGCATCCATTATGGGTGGTCTCAACCCTCCCAAGAAGTCTGTGCAGTCTCAGTTGACTCGTCAAACGGGCACCCGAGAGTCAGTGGAGGTTTCATGTATTTGGATACTGCAACAAGAGAGGTTTACAAAATTCAAAATCTGAGGACAAAAGCGAGAACCGTTGGCATATGTCTGCCTTTTGTTGTTTTTATAGATTAGTGCTCATGGTATGGTATACCTCAGGTGGAGACAGACAGACAGACAGACAGACCGACAGACCGACAGACCGACCGACCGACCACCCACCCCACAAACAAACAACCCCACAAACACCCCAACAACCCAACAAACAAACCACTAAACAGCCTCTCACCCAGTTCTCTGTACTTTGTGTCTTTCTTCAGCCAGCTGCTTGCAGTGGATTGCCTACTCTGGAAGTAGATGTTTTCCACCTTTATTTCTCCGTTCAGAGCAGGACTTCCCTGGCGAATGTTGAAACGAGATGGGTTCCAGAGATCCGCCATGCCATGCCTGACATTCCAATCCTCCTGGTTGCAACAAACATAGGTAAGTGCACAGGGGACATTCAAGACTGGTAGATTACAAAAGGCAACCTGTTTGCATCTACAACTGATTTTAACCGATTTTATTCCCATACTGCTGGATTTTCTTGACCCTGCCACGTTTGAATCTTCCATAAACTTAAAAGTTCTTAATCCCACCACCACCTCTCATCCAATCATGACCCATGGTANTTTCTTTCATGTTTTAATGGATCCTAAAGAATTTTAATGGTTTTTCCGTTCATAGGACCGTCACCCACCTGTGAACCTAATGTTCCTCATTTTAATCAGTTTCTACAACTGAATATGGATACACACTCTTAAACACAAGGTTGCTTTTTAATCAATCCACAAGAACACTTACAAGTTGCAATTTCAAGGAACTACCTTTTTAACTCATGCAGATCCTCCTTGGAGTCCCGATTGCACCCGTGTGGTTACATATGAGGAGGGCTTGAAGATGGCTCAGAAACTCAACTTGGAATACACTGAGATGACTGGACAGCTGAACTCAAACCTGAAAGAATGTTTCCAGAAAGCAGTGAGTGAAATCCTTGGAGAGTTAGTTGTTGCACGAGTCAAGTTAAATCCCTGTGAAGTTGGTTTGTTCAGAAATCCACAGAAAAGGTTTGAAGACCACATTCATTCACCAAATAAAGGGTAGCCTGGCTGTCATTGGATAATGACTGCATGGTGCAAACCATCAGTGGAAAATCTGAGCACAAGATCAGAAGGAGGCTGGGAAAAGTACGGTAAATGTTTGATGAAAACAAGTCCAGCTATGAATCATTGATACGCTACTGCAACTTGAAATTCAGATTGATTGACAGTATTGATAAGGAATTCCTTTTTTTTTTCAAAGGTTTACATTGCTGATAAAGGAAGGACACCGAATATGCCAAAGAAGAAGAAAGGTTTCTTTGGTTTCAGGGGGAGAAAGCCCAAGCCCCGCCCACCTGAACCTGAAGTACCCCCAGTAGGTAAGCCTTACTGAGACAAAGTCAACATTGCTTGCACTTCACATTTGGCTTTCAGTGATGCATTTCAGTAGTTACATAATATTGGATCTTCTGCACGTAGCTTTAATAGGGACACAACGGACTTGATAAACACAAAAACCTTACCATCATTCCATTCCAAGTTGAACAACACTTTCAGCAACATCCATTCTGCCAACTTCAACCAGCACTGGTGATACACTGTCCATTTCATTGACTGAATCTTAATCTCTCTCCTACAGAGTTTCATTTTAGTTTTTAAAGTATTTATAATTACTTGAGGCAAATTCTGGCCCGTGACACAGAAAATTACCTCCTTGAGTGTCCCTCCCCCGAAGCACTCCCTCACAGGCAGAGAAGACATTGTCAGATGGAAATAATGTCAACTTAGTGCATGGTTCTCTGTAGCAGATGTTTGATTTTGTACATTTTAAAAGAAATTGACGGATTGTTTGCTCAGCAATATCCCTTGCCAAAGAAACCTGAAAATCGGCTATCTCGTGTTCCCAGAATTAGCTGATGCACTATAAATGTTACCTGTATTCCCTTTGTAAACACTGGTACTTTGTATTTACACATTAAGCAATATCCCTTGCCAAAGACACATGATAACCAACTATCTCGTGGTTTGATTTTAAATGGAATCAGAAAGTCTGAAGGTGCGAAGCACTTTGTGATGATAGATTTGAATCCATTCCCTCACGCTGTCATTTAAAGCCTCTCCTTTTCATCCAAATATCTACCACTAACCAGTGTGTTCTCAGCACTTGAAATGTAAAGTAATAATGATTAGACTCTGAAGTCATGCTTCAGCCAAACTACAACAGGATCAAGAACAGACTTTGATAGACTCGGGTTAGACAGAGGCTAATCTGGTCATTCAAGCCAGTTGGAGTTAATGGCTGTGTTAAAAGTCTATGTTCATATTCTTACATTCCTTCTCTAGGCAATATGTCCTCTCATGCAGTCTTAGTCACGTGATGATTTACTTGTTTAAAGAAGTGTTGAGACAACTGTTTTATCTTTTCATTCAAAAGAGACTGTGGTTCAAATTTATTAAGTTCTTTCTTTGTGGTTTTATTGCCCCAAGATGAAGCCCCTCGGATTGAAATCCAAACCTCAACCATCGCAGACAACTTTGGCAAGGCGTTGGAGCAGTCATCAGCTTTCTCTGACGTCGTCTTCATCGTTGAAGGGAAGAGCATCTTGGCCCACAAAGTGGTGCTGTGTAGTGCCTCCAACTTCTTCTGTCATGTGTTTGGCCTGGATCTACCTCAGGTTGGCTGCATCTTGTCTTTCAGATGCCTAGTGAATTATTGATCTATGCTTCCCCAACATTTTCAGTAGCAGCCAAAAATTGATGTTTTTCATTTCAGTTCAGTGTGTAAACATCCAAGAATGTCTGTTTGTAACCCCATTGCAAGTATTTCAAGTGATAAATCTCTACCAATTCATTATATTTTCTGTCGGAAGAAAACCCCCCCAGTGTTGAATTTTTCTAATGTCATCACATGGTTTGTTTTAGGATACAGCCAGCCATCCCTCAGTCATGAACTTTACCTGGGAGGATATCAACCAGGGCAAGATCACTGGTTTAGCTGGTATCCGTGATGAAGTGACCCCAGACAGCAGCCTGCTTGAGACAGCAAAAACCAAGGTGACGATCAGTGCAGACATCACTTACAAGACCTTTCGTCAAGTTTTGGAGTTTCTGTACTCAGGTAACTACAAGACTCCAAAAATGTTCAAAAACCGAAAAATGTTCTACCAGTTTTGACAAGTCCTTCACTCGTTTCATCTTGACAAATCCAGCCACCTCACTAAAACATAAAATGCAGGTGACATAACAGTAATCAGGCTTGGGATCATCTTCATGTATGAAAGAATTTTGGTTTTCAGAATTCTGTCAAGTGAATGCTGCAAACTTAAATTCCGCTTATTATATGGCTGAACTTCTTTGGAAAATTCACGGTAGAAGTCAGTCCCCAGAAAGAGATCTTCATGAGTAATCAGTGTGCTCTTTTCTCTTCGAAAGATCATGTGTTTCTTAGGTGAAGTAGCAGTGTGTCTAGTAGACCATTCCAACTTTCTCAACTTTTCAGAAGCCTTCTTTACCGAGTATACTGACACCCAAGAAACTCCTTGTTTCTTAAATTCTGCCTTTCCACACCACCTCTATTACATTATAGGCCTTCCTAGCCTCACAGACGAGACCACCACAGAGGACCTTGTGGCTTTACAGAAAGCATCCAATACATTCTCCTTACCTATGCTGGACAGCATCGTCAAGAACCTACAGAATGATGGAAAGTTCCTGAATCCTAGCATTGGAACCTACCTGAATGACCAGACAGGACAGAGGACCAAGTGGTTGTTCCTGAACAAACAGACACTGTCTGATATCCGATTCAAAGTTGAAGGTAGGTTGTGTCCCCCCTTTTCTCTTCCTGATCCCCTGGATGTCCATGGCTACTGGTAAAGGCCAGTTTGCAATGAAGCTGGAATTGGATGTATTTGGGTGGTGCAGATTATGCGATCTGTTTTCTTTTGGAATAGGAATATAGACAGCATTGATATTGAGTTCTTTCTGAGTGGAGAATAGCAGCACTAACGTTCTCATCATATCATTGCACGTGCCCCATCAGTCCCATTTGTAAAAACACTGAAAAGAAAGTCACATTTTTTTCTTTCTCTGCGTAAAGACACAACAGTCTATGCTCACAAGGTGATGCTGACATCTCGCTGTGAGGTCATGAATGGAATGTTCACTGGAGACTTCACTGAAAGCAGCCAAGATGAGGTAATTCGGGTCTGGGTCACTTCACAGAGAAAGACTGTCAGTCAGGGAGACACAATTCTCAGTTAACAAAACTGACATGCACTGACTGTTCTAGAAGAAAGGGCGAGTCTTTGATGATGGCCAGACCACGGGGTCATTTGGCAATCATAAAGACACCTCTCAAAGTTATAGCTGCTTCCAACTTGTGCCCATTTCTCTAAGAAGCAGTCATAAGAACACTGAACACCAGTCAGTTCTGATAGTGGGTGCTACTTTAGATTTGGGGACACAGTTCCCACATCTCTGACTAGCACCCCAGCTACCTAATACCTCAGAGTGGTGTGCTGCAGACATCTAGGCCTTACGATACTGCTTGGATGAAAGTCTTTGATAGCTACAGGTTAAAGTTATCTGCACATGCCGAACCTTGATTGAGACAAGGAGGAAAAGCTGTAATGGTAATTTTTTCTTGTGATGTTTAGATAAGAATTGAAGACGTGAGTCTGGAGTGTTTCTTGGCCCTCCTGGAGTACCTGTACACTGACCACGCCCCTATAGAGGAGGGTGATGCCGTGGGGATCCTTGTAGCAGCTGATCGGTATGGCCAAGATCGACTGAGAAATCTCTGTGAGCTGTACATCACCAAGGGGGTAGATGTGACAGAGGAACATGTGGATGTCATTGGACTGTTGCATACAGCCCAGGTTTGTTAGCTTGTCCTCAGACTTCTGAATGAGCACTCTAGGTTCTAGATTGTTGATCTAAGTCTTTAGTCAAACTTTTCAGAATTTGTTTTTCCCATTTTTTAAATAAAAAAACATCTACATTCTGGATATTGTTTAAAAATACATTTTCAATTTGACTAATTGAGACCATTGTTCACAGGCCCTGTAGCTATAGTATTAGTGAAACTTAAGAAGGGGATTCTCATCGTTGGTCAGTGATATTCGTAATCTAACACCATGGTGACACAAGAATTATAGCTATTTATCATCGACACAGTTACACAGCATATTCTGTTATACGTATAGCAAGAGAGTGTAATCCCATTCATAACACAACACAACATTCATAATGGTAATGATGTCTCTGTGATTTATCGGAACAACACTATAGCATTTGTTGTAATTTGTACTTCGTCTTTAGTGTTTAAGATACAGTGGTTTTGCACGTCAAGCATTTTATTGCACTGATGCAATATGTGATTGATTGACAGATGTGCAATGCCAGCCAGCTTGCCCAGTGGTGCCTTGATCTCATTTCCCGTAACTTTGTGGCCTTCCAGCAGCGGGCGGAGTTTAAGAAGCTGGAGGGGGAGAACCTGAAATATGTCACTGAGAACCGCTGGCCTCCTGCGAGCTACCTGAAAAAGGTGGAAAAATACAAGGCTCAGTGGGGGAAGAAAGGGGACAAAGTATAGCAAGGGGGAAAAATGCTTAATTTGTTTGAAGCACAGTCGAGAGAAGGGTGCGAAAAAATCTTCATACATGATAAATTTAGCCTAAATTGCATTAAAGCCACTTTTATGGTTTAAAATCCCTGAATATTTAAGAGTTATATATACATATACTTTTTACACCTTTTATGCATGTGTAATTCTTTAATTAAACAAAAACTTTGCGTTTTTTTATCAGTTAAATCTAGAAAACTGAAGTTTTTAAATGATCAGCTTCTTTTGCTATAAGTTGTTTTTTAAAAATTCATGACAATGTGGAAAGCAAAATATGAATACAGTAAGTGTCAATGTACAACACTACTCAAAAAAACTTATGGACCACTTTTTATTTTGTGTATAGTTTTACTGCCGAAAATACCCCAATACAACTGTCCTGAATGACCTCAAACACACCGCAGCCAATTTCACATGTGGTGGGTTTCAGTTGTTGCATAATGTCTCTTGCATCACTGCACATCCTGAAATTACAAGTGAAGAAAAACGTAGTCCATACCTTTTTTCGTAGAAATTATTCATTGCCCTAGGAATTCTCCTGGACGTCGAAAAACAATTAAAGTTTGCATTTATGTAGTTTGTGGTGACATATCACTGTATTAAATCGGGCCACCTTATTTTGAAAGTTCTAAACATTCAAGGACCGAGATTCAGCGAACTGTTCCCAGCATGGCATGTATACATCGCCCTAAGTTAAATCCCTGACTGCTATTCATATAGGAAGGAGTTCCATTTACGGATAACACTTGAGGCCCTGTGCACAAACCTATGAGCTCTGTCTGAAAAAAAAAACAGATTTAATGCTTTAATTTACAGAAGTAAATGCTTCGGAATTTTCTGAGCTAAATTTCACTTTTTAGGACGTTATTATTCTCTGACGGCTGTTGCTACATTTTAAGGGGCAATTTGTGTTGTCCGTATATGGAACTCTTTCTATCATGTATCTCTGTAAATTGAATACCAAAGCGAAGGCGAGAAAACAAGCCGTAAAATAAATGAGACAAACTGCGCTTTACTGCAGAGTGTTACGGTGCTGTTCACTCCAGCGTTGCCACTGCTTGAAAAACTTTTCAAGATCTTGAAAAATTGAGACCCATTTGAAAACTTGAAAAAAATCTGCAATCTCCACAGATCTTGAAAAAATTCAAAAATCAGACGGAAATAATACAGGCCCCTAAATTTCATATTAAAGATTTAACTATTGTCCATTATGTATGTCTACTGGTATTTGTTTTCAATTTATTGATTTTAAACAGCGTCTGGATATTTTGCTTTATTTTATTACACTTTCCACCAATGAATTGCGAAGAATACATGAATAACGAAATGTTGAAACGATTGTACGTACATACATGTGTTTTGTTACGTTTACAAACGGTTAAGTAACATTTACATAGGCTCGAAAAATCTCGAAAATTTCAGACCCTGATCTTGAAAAAAAAAGTCCAGTGGTCACCCAGGTTCACTAATATCTTTCCTCCTCGGTGCAGTATTTAGAGCTGGTATTAGCTCTATGAGTAGTATGGTCAACTTGTTCTGCATGAGTACTTTAGATGCAAAGAAACACTACTGGACCATCGCTTAGTTTGTAGAGACATCGGGGAGATACTTTTTGGCCAATCCTATCAATCACGAAGATTTGATTTTCATACAGATTTTTATCACGAAGGTTCGGCTCAGAGACGTTGCTTTTTATTTACCCGCGAGAGGGCGTGCCACGACCAATCGCCTCGACCTCGTGCATGATATACACAAACCAGATACCGCAAAAGTTTAGGGCACTGCAGACACGGCATGAACTGCTCCCGCGCACTTGAAGGCCTCGGCCTACTACTGCTTACCTAGAAAGTAAGTCACGCACATCATCAGTGATTTTAACCGGTTTGAGAAATTGTAGATACGGTCAGGGAGTCCACCTGGGCCTAGGCAGGGCCAACCCAAGTAAAGTAATTGACAAACCAATGCTACTGCTAGGATAGGGAGCTGCAGCGGAGCCAATCTTGGCAATTATATCATGGAGGTAGAATATTAAGGGCTAGGCATTTGACACATGCTTATGAAAATACCCCCACTGCAACCTGCAGTGCAGTGTTTTCTTCTAGCAGGTGGTCATGGTGGTGCACCCACTTCTATGGCCCTTGCGTGCTGTATCAAGTGTCATATTGAATGTATGACCTGCCAATGCCATTCGAAGTTAGCTGTAGGCCTAACTAACTTTAATGTTAGAGATTGGTCTTTTTTGGGGGGGGGAGGAATTTTTTCTTCATCTCCGATTGTTCTTACCGTAAGTCTTATCACAAATACTGCATGGGTGATTTTACACAATGGTAGAAAGGCATTGTGGGTAGGAAAGAGGAGCCAACATTGCCCCTGTTTCCTTCCCACAGTGCCATTAATTCTACCATTGTGCAAAATCACCTGTGCAATAGGCTTATTTACAATAAGGCTTATGCACACAGGGTGACATTATTTTCTCTTGTCCCACAGATATTTCTTTTACAAAGTGGAAAAATTAGAAGATAGAGGATATTTTTAGTTTCATTTAGGACTTATGTACCCCCCAGAACTGTGGGGTCCCATGTCCGCCCCGCTCCCACGTGGGAGTGGGGAACATGTCGAATCCCACAGTTCTGGGGGTAGAACTTATGCATGTAAGACAGACAGTGCAAAGTTTAAGTCATTTGTCCGAGACCCATGAACATGGTAGTGGTGCCAACCTTGAGAAAACAGCTTTCTACATGTATTTTGTAAGGGTTGTCCAGGTTTTAAGATCAGGAAATGTAGACTAACCCGTCCCAGGAATAACGGTTGACATGTCTTCTTTACAAATGCCCCTCTCAAACACGTACAGCATGTTTAATTTTGTACAGATTTCCATCATCAATATGGTAGCAAGTGTTGAAAGTGAGATCACTTGTGTGTGATGATCGACTGCATGTACATGTATGTGTTCCAAGTGGTGCAATGGTCGATGGTAAGTCTGAACTCTCTAAACACCAGGACCCCATGAATGAGAGAGAGATACGCTGTACAATTTAGGAGGTGTGTATTTGGACGCCACCCACTAAACTTAGGGCTGAGTCAATTCGAATAAGTCACTATTTGAATATTCCACATTCAATTTGATTGAATATCTGAATATTTAATCGTACTGACCGGCAGATTGTTGAGGAACAAACCATATGCAAAATCAGTTGCAATAATGCCCATTGTGATCACTATAATAGCTTCTCACATCTAAGAGTATCTCCAGCCACAATTTAGCAAGATTTAAGAGATGAACAAGACTTCTGCATTCTGGATTTTCAAGCCCTTTTGAAAATTTCTATTCCTTTTAAATTGTTTAATGAATAATTTACTTTTGAATTGTTGTAAGATTTCTGTTGCTTTTCATTTGAATCTGCTTGAAACAAGCCTCCATAGTGAAGTTTTTCTCATTTAAAACAAAAGAAAATTTTTCTTTTTCATGAATATTAAAATTCAAAAAAATAATATTTGAATATCCGATAATGGACCAAATATTCAGTTATTCGGACATTCGATAGTACCCTCCTTGATCAATGTCTACATGCACGTATGTATATGCGAATAGGCCAGTAGATTATAGCACCAATAGTGATCATGCAAGACCTGTGGCCTAGTGCCCTAGTGCATAGTCGGGTGTCTTGTGAGCACGGGTGAGAGAGTTTGAATCCCAGCTAGCCAGAGACACTCTTTTTAAAATATTGTTATTTTCAAATTAACTGTAAACAGAGCATGACATTTTCCCTTTTTGGTTCGTGGCTCTGGAGGATTTTTCTTTGCGGGGAAAAAATGTCCAAACTCACCAGAAAGTTACTCAAAGTCTAAATCTCATCGAGACCTGAATTCCTCACAGACACAATACACATGTACATGTATAAATGTATCTGTTTCTTTGGCATCTGTACTGATATAAGTTTTCTCTTCTTTTTCCACATTTCTTTCTGATCCAACAGAAGAGAAAGTGAAGATTGTGTTGGTGGGTAATGACCATGTGGGCAAAACCTGCCTCTGTCTCGCTTACTGCAAAGACTACTTTCCCTACGTGTACATCCCTATAGTGTTTGAGGACTACGTGCAGGATGTGGTGGTTGCTGGGAAGGCTTTTGCTGCTCGTCCTGTGGACACATCAACCTTGGTACGATCGGGAAACTTACATTGGGAATCCATGCAAATTGGTTTTCATGCGCTCAAAGAAATTAACTTGCGAGTCAAAATCATTTTTATGATGTTGGTTTCTCAAAAATTGTTGCAGGCACCAACAAGAATTCATAAATGAGTTTCCCAACGAAGGGAATCTCTGCGTGTGAAATGATTGTGAGTGCATGAAATGAAAATGACCAAATAAAATTAAGTTACAATTTGTTCCTGCCTGAAATGAAAGTCAAAGATGTCACAGCTCAAGGGCGTGACCACAATTTACATGTATTATCCTTTTGTTATTCTTGTGTGAATGTGCTGTGCACGTACCTCCACAGGATTGGGCAAATCTTTAAAGCACAGATAGTCTTATTGTATTAAATCTCATACTTTCTTTGAATTGGGATATAAAAATCGCATGTCATTGACTACACTTGAGAGTTGTTATTTTAGAGACTTGTCATACCTACATACACCCATCAACATTTAAGTTGATAAGACATTTTCTTGTACAGATTTATTAAAAATCTTGTCCTATTTGCTTGTTGTCTTCCTAGGCCAATATTTGATAAATTGAAGGCTACGTAACCTTTCAAAAATCAGTAATAAGTGCAAAACCATCTATTCTCTTACTTTTTGACGAGTCTTAAGTGGCCTATCTGTGTAGATTTTACCCCTGATCATTTTTGGTTTTTGGTTTTTTTGCACTTTTTCCACACTTTACAGCAAAAATGCATACATGGATGACATGCATTCAGTGTCATGTTTTTCCATAGATCCATTGTTCATATCTGATACATGTAGTTGGTAATACCGCAGTGTCTTAATTGACGTGGGTCGGGGTAATTTACAAATGCTGGATGCTGTGAAGAACGGTCACTTTTTTGTGTGCAGGGAGAAGATTATGATCATCTGCGTCCTTTGAAATATCCAGGAACTGACGTATTTCTGATGTGTTTCTCAGTGGAGCGCCGGTCTTCCTTTGAACACATTGAGTCAAGATGGCTGCCAGAGATCCGCCAATACATGCCCACAACTCCCATCATTCTTGTGGCCACAAAGATAGGCAAGTTATTTGTGAGCAGCCACGAGTTGAAACCTTACACAAGCTGGCATGTGGATTGGCTTTTTAATTGCTAAAAGATTCTGTTGATTATTCCCAAGAGCATTCACATGTATGTTCATTTTTTCTGGATAATGGAAAGCTGTAACCTACATGCACAGACAGCGTTAAAACATTTTCACAGATGCAAGGTCCCTGGACCAAGAAATAACGTTCAAAGGATCTAGGTCAGTGATTGTAGTTATTCATTTATCTCCACATATTTCAAGTGGCACTTTATTGTCAGGATGAACTTTGTAGCTTTTGTTGAAAGCTCCAATACTGACCACTCCTGTTGAAGTAATTTGAGACTCATTTTAATGCTTCAGATTGGGACAGTCTTTTTTAGGGGGTTTGTTTTTTTGGTGCAGATCTTCGTGGGAGTCCCCAGCACAGTTGTGTTACATTTGACGAAGGCTTTGAACTGGCCCAGAAACACAACTGGACCTACATCGAGACGAGTGCCGTCCTTCACACCAGCAGGAAAGAGTGCCATGAAAAATATGTGAGTAGAATCCTCGGAGGAATGATGTGGAGTTTTACAGGGACTCTTTGTGATGGGAAGAGATGGTGAATTTTTTTTTTTTTTTAAAGTCAAAAATGCATCATTGGATGGCACACGGTAGTTAAGTACATGTTAGTGCGTGCGGAAGTTTCATGTATTCGGATATCTCCTGTAAGGGAGGCCTAGAAGATTCAAAATCTAAGGATGAAAGTGAGAGATGTGGGTACAGGTCTGCCTTTTGCCTTATATGGAGGTAGAAGAATCCAGTAATAGAGTTGTGTGAGATGATGAAGCCCCTAGAGAACCAAGCAGTGCAAGAAACCAAGCCATCAAACGGCCTCTTACTCAGGTTTCTCTCTGCTTTTTGTCTTTTGTCAGGTGGCTCGTTGGGGTGAGCCTCCTACTTTGACGTACGAGAAAGTGGATGTTTTCCACCTTTATTTCTCTGTTCAGAGCAGGACGTCCCTGGCGAATGTTGAAACGAGATGGGTTCCTGAGATCCGCCATGCCATGCCTGACATTCCAATCCTCCTGGTTGCAACAAACATAGGCAAGTGCATTGGAGGACAACGTGAAAATTGTATTTGGAAAGTTAACCTCCAAATGTCACTGACTATGTGACTGAGAACAAGTTTATACCCGTCGTTGATGTGTATTCTGAAAACGCTTTATACTCAATACTGCCTGTATATTTGTACCTGTTACATAACACCTCTACTCGTACCTGTCTTTTGTTGCTGTTCGTTAAATGCCAAAGCTGCATGGACCTTTTTGTTCGAATGGAATGTTTTGCTCTGTATTTAAGGCTTTATAGCGGGCTGCTCGGCCTCGGTCGGTGTCAGTTATGGTGAACGTGCGTGAGCACAGTTTGAGGTCCGCACCCCTGTTTCGATGTTGCTGCTGCTAGGATCTACCTGTGGGCTGCCGGTGGTGGTTGGTTTTCATAGTGACTCAGGTCCGTGCTGGTGTGGCATCTGCAGTGGCATAGCCACGGACATAGCCACCGGCAGCCTGAACAAGGCTAACAAAAATTTGCCACCCAAAAAACCTTACCACTGAAACCTGGTGCCCCCATAAGATGCTGGGGCCCCTTTGTGGCCCCCACTCCTACACCACTGCTTATCTGCAGTGACTTTTTGTTTTTTTCAGATTTCATCAGGTAAGAACTGGCAATACTGATTTTTTTTTTATTGTCGATTTGTTTCCAAGTAATATTGCCGATTTGATGATGCAGTCATACAAAAAATTGTGCAACACTGATGAACCCTTACCATCCTCAATCCTTCCAAATCCTCTGAGCGGTTTTGGAGGATTTTGGAGGATTGAGGCTGCATGGCAGAATTGCATTGCTGCATGCGAAGGATGCATTGTCTCAAGGTTGTATTTTTAAAGACTTTGTGTTGTCGGTGTTCAGCCATGCATACATTCACGCCAACATTGTATGTGAAATTCCCCATACTGATCCAGGATACCATTCACACTGCCTCAACAAAATGAGAGGAATTGCTGGAGGGTTTTGAAAGATTGAGGCAGTGGGCACCCGTCCACAGAACATACTCAAGAAATATCAGAGGATTTTGGAGGACTGAGGCTGAATCCAATTTGTTCAAGGGGGAAGTTGGAGGATTTTGAAGGATTGAGGGTGTATAGCCAAAAGGGCCACTAGTTAGGGTCAACCCTAACACTCCTCAGTCCTCCAACAGGTGAAGGATTGAGGAGGGTTAGGGTTAAAGACTTCCTAAGACTGCAAACATACATGTAAAGGCATGAACAATGTGGCTTTGAGGAAACTGGCCTCTGTAACTCCTGGCTGCAGAGACTTATTGTTTGCTTGTTTTGTTTCTTTTGTAACCTGTTTGCAAATAATTCATATTCCCCCCAAAATCGCTCACCCTTACCCACAATCTCTGCTCCATGAGCCTCGTGAAAACTGTCCGTTATTTACTTGGCATGCCATTAAAGCACAGATTTGGGATTTCTTGCATTACAAACTTCAGGTTGGGCATGAACAATTGTCAAATTTTTCCTGAAAAACTTGCGTGGAGAAAAAAAGGTCAATAAGGAATGATACCAGTGACGTCTGGATATTTCGATATTCCAAAGTGTTGGCGATTTTGAGTTATTTTCTTCTGTTTGAATATCGTATCATCATGTTGGCCAGCACTACAGCAGGTCAAAGTCTCAGGCAATTTATGGAAAGTACTGCTGGAGTGTGTCATGGATGGCAATGGTGGAAATCACCTCAACCCTGAATTTTTGGGGGCACAGATTAATTTTCCTGTCTCTTCCCACTTTAAAGATGTGAGGTCCATCCCCCCCACCACCACCCTGCATACCTTTGTAGAAGTGTGTAAACACTTCACTCATGCACCCCCATCTATGGGCTCTGAGTTGAACCAAGAGAGGGCGCAATTTTCCCAGCTACGGATTCTCCCTTAGTTGGAACTGCACTTTGCTAGTTCACGACCCACCATGACATTCATGCGTTCAAGTTGCACCGCTACAAACTAAGTGAACATTCCACTATCATGGCTCTTTTCAACTCATGAAGGCAGATAGTAAAAAAGGATTTGTAGATCCCTCAAATTTTAGCCATTGTCACCCACCTGTAACCCTATTTTCCTTAGGTAATCAATTTCTACGATGGTGGATACATTTTCTTAAACTCACAATTGCTCTTTGATCTTTCCACAAGATAACTTCGAAGTTGCAATGTCCAGGTTCTTTTTTTCTGTGTACTTCGGCAGATCCTCCTTGGAGTCCTCATCGCACCCGTGTGGTAACATATGAGGAGGGCTTGAAGATGGCTCAGAAACTTAACTTGGAATACACGGAGATGACAGGGCAGCTGAACTTGAACCTGAATGAATGCTTTGAGAAAGCAGTGAGGGAAATCCTTAGAGAATCTCTTGGTTTATGAATCAATTTTAATCTTTGTATAGTTGTTCTGTTCAGAAATCCATGGAAATGGTTGGAACTCCATTAGTCAATGAGTTACCTGGCTGTCATTGGATAATGACTGTATGGTGCAAACCATCGGTGGAAAGTGTTAGCACGAGAATCAAAGGAGGCTGGTGAAGTAAATGTTTGATGAAAACAAGTCCCATTATGAATCTTTGATACACGACTGTAACTTGGATTTAAAATCATTAGATTACCAAAATTAATGAGGAAAACTCTTCTTTTTCCAAAGGTTTACATTGCTGATGAAGGAAGGACTCCAAAGAAGAAAAAAGGTTTCTTTGGTTTCAGGAGGAGAAAGCCCAAGCCCAGCCCACCATCTGAACCTGAAGTACCCCCAGTAGGTGAGCCTTTCCAGAAGTAAGGCTTACTGAGACAAAGTCAACATTGCTTTCATTCCACATGTGGTTTATCCAGTGTTCATTGAAGTAGTCACATAGCATTGAGTCTTTTGCATGTTGCTTGAGAGACACAACTGACTTGATAAACAAAAAAAATTACCTCAGTCTATTTTAAGTTGGCCGTCACACTCAATAACATATTTTGCCAACTTACAGACCAATTCCAGCGACGGTAACTTTTCTCATATTCAATCCTTTTCAGAAGAGCCAAATCTAATAAAAGTGGCACATATCAATATCTCCCTTGCAATACACGTTTTTGTGTTAATAAAACACAGTTTTTGTACCCATTTTCCTGCGAGTCCAGTCTGGTATTGTAAAAATGGACGTGTCGTCACGACTCAATACCATTTCATGAATATTGATTTTTGGGATGTATTTAACCCTGGAGACAAAATACCACAGTGCGTTTGCGTCTGCTTTAGGCATGCATAGCACGCGTTGCCGCGGACAACAGCGCAAACTTGAAGAATGCTTTCATTCTTCTGAAACTTGAAGAATTTCCATCCCAGATCATTTGCAGAATTTATGCATCTACCGATGACGGACGATTTCGGCATTGTTGTAAATCTTGAAGAAAGGAGCACAAACTCTTGACAGAAAAGTAGATGGTGCACACAGATTGATCCCCGGTATATGGTGGATGCACATGTAGCTCCATGTTCATGTGTATGTACATTTGTAGCAGAACCAGTCGTGCTATGGATACCAGTTTGAATATATTCTCTGGTCTTGCATCAAACAAATTTCGTTTCTCAACAGTGCCGCCGGTGGTCAGATCGTGGAAATTTTTCATAAACCCAAAGACGCCGTTCAACAATTTCGGCAAAATTACCAATAATGCAGACGCAATACAGACATGATTTGGCAATGAATATATGATTTATTCCACGCTAAACACAATCAGAGTTTATTTTCAAAACTTTTAAAACCATTGGAGTTGGTCTGTAACCAGCACTGATGGCCACTTCATTTCAAAGCCATTCTATCTATTGTACTACATTGACTGCATCTTAATTCCCCTTCCTACCAAGTTTCATTTTACTTTTCAAAAGCCGTACAACTACTTAAGGTAAATTGTGGCCCAGGGTACAAGAAAGGGAACCCTTGAGTATCCCCCCCCGGCTGTGTCATTAGGGACTTCGGTACAGATTCAGTAACTTAAATCTGTGGGGTTTTTTTGGCTTCAAGATGAAGCCCCTCGGATTGAAATCCAAACCTCAACCATCGCAGACAACTTTGGCAAGGCATTGGAGCAGCCAGCTTTCTCTGACGTCGTCTTCATCGTTGGAGGGAAGAGCATCTTGGCCCACAAAGTGGTGCTGTGTAGTGCCTCCAACTTCTTCTGTCATGTGTTTGGCCTGGATCTACCTCAGGTTGGCTGTATCTTGTCTTATAGAGCCCAATTAGACCCTTACTGTTCATATTTTTCCCACACTCCAAGTAAGAGTACAACTTAAACCAGAACCTGATTTTTTTCAGTTCAGTGCTTCCATATCTCTAACCCTATAGGCGGTAATAAGTTTTTGAGTAACTCGTCCTATTTTCTAAACAGAAAAGAGCCAAAAATGTTTGCACTTTTCTGATTGATTTGTTCCAGCATAAAGCCAGCAATTCTCCCGTCTTGAACTTTACCTGGGAGAATATCAACAAGGGCAAGATTACCGGTTTAGCTGGTATCCTTGATGAAGTGACCCCAGATGGCAGTCTGCTTGAGAAAGCAAAGACCCAGGTGACGATCAGTGCAGACATCTCTTACAAGACCTTCTACCATGTCTTGGAGTTTCTGTACACAGGTAACTACAAGACGAAAAAAAATTCCCAAACCAAACTTTTTTCTGCCATTTTGTCAAGTCCTTCACTTGTTTCATTTTCAAAAATCCAGCCATCTCACTAAAACATAAAATGCAGGTAACTTAAAAGTAATTACTCTTCAGGCTTGGGATGATCTACGGTGTAGGAATTTCCAGAATTCTGATAAGTCCATGTTGCAAACAGATATCTTGCTAATTATACACCTGAACTTCTTTGGAAAACTCACGGTAGAAGTCAGTCACTGGTAAGAGATCTTCATGAGTAATCAGCGTGCTCTTTTCTCTTTGAAAGATCATGTGTGTCTTAGGTGATGTGGCAGTGTGTCTAGTAGACAATTCCAACTTTCTCAACTTTTCAGAAGCCTTCTTTACCGAGTATACTGGCACCCAAGAAACTCCTTGTTTCTTAAATTCTGCCTTTCCACACCACCTCTAACATTATAGGCCTTCCTAGCCTCACAGACGAGACCAGCACAGAGGACCTCGTGGCTTTACAGAAAGCATCCAATACATTCTCCTTGCCTATGCTGGACAGCATCGCCAAGAACCTACAGAATGATGGAAAGTTCCTGAATCCTAGCATTGGAACCTACCTGAATGATCAGACAGGACAGAGGGCCAAGTGGTTGTTCCTGAACAAACAGACACTGTCTGATATCCGATTCAAAGTTGAAGGTAAGCTGTGTCTTGTATCTCTTCCTGCCGGTCCCCTTGGATATCCCTGGCTATTAGTTAAAGAACAGTGCTCCATGGAGCTGGAATTTGATGCATTTGGGTGGTGTGGGTTGTGCAAGGTTTGGTTTTTGGAATAGGAATAGACAGCATTGAAATTGAGTTCTTTCTGTGTGGAGAATAGCAGCACTAACGTTCTCATTATATCAGTTTGGTTTTATTCAACCTTGTGCCCCACCAGTCAATTATTTTACAACATTGAAAAAACATCACCTTTTTTCATTCTCTTGGCAAAGACACACTAGTCTATGCTCACAAGGTGATGCTGACATGTCGCTGTGGGTTTATGAATGGAATGTTCACCGGAGACTTCACTGAAAGCAGCCAAGATGAGGTAATTTGGGTTTGAGTCACTTTACAGAGCAAGACCGACAGTCAGGGAGAAATAATTCTCAGGTAACAAAAGTGAGGTGTACAGACTGATTCTTTGATGATGGCCAAACACCCTGTGGAGTTAGGACGCCTTTCCATACGTACGTTTTTTGGGTGCATTGCTTACACGATGCATTTATGTGTTTCATTTTCATGGACACAAAAGTCAACTGCATTAACATAACACACATGTACGTTGTGTTCGGCTCCGGGATATGCAACACTTGGTGCAGGTGTTGACCCGCATAGGGAAAGGTGCCTTTATGCCGCTTCCAACTTGGACCTATTTCTCTAAGAAGCAGTCATAAGAATACTGAATGCCTGTCAGTTCTGATAGTGGGTGCTACTTTAGGGTTAGGCTAACAGTTCCCACATATCTGACAAGCACCCTACTGACCGAATACCCCAGTGATATGCTGTAGACCACAAGGACTCATGGCACTGCGTTGATAAGCTACCTGCCTTGCGCAGAAGCACCCCGTCTTTGGTTGAAAAGAGTCATGCTGCCGGAGATCGAGTGTTCATTTTGTTGGTACCGATGTGACTGTAACGCGTACATTTCATAGTCGTTTGGGAACCAATTTAGGAAAAATCAAACAGGAATCTTGTTGCATTGATGCTTAGATTAGAATTGAAGACGTGAGTCTGGAGTGTTTCTTGGCCCTCCTGGAGTACCTGTACACTGACCACGCCCCTATAGAGGAGGGTGATGCTGTGGGGATCCTTGTAGCTGCTGATCGGTATGGCCAAGATCGACTGAGAAATCTCTGTGAGCTGTACATCACCAAGGGGGTAGATGTGACAGAGGAACATGTGGATGTCATTGGACTGTTGCATACAGCCCAGGTTTGTAAGCCCATCCTGATAAGCTCGTGTTTGAATTCTCAGATATGAATGAGTTGCAGCGCACACTGAGTTCTAAAAATTAATTCCAAGTCCAAGTCTCCATTCATCAAAATCAAGTCTAGTTCTTAGTGTTGAATGCCCAAACTGTGCAGTCTAAATTAAAAGTCAAGTGTTACCCAAGTGCCATGAGTGAAAAAACAGCCAGAAAGTTGGTTGAACTTTTCCAGCAACCATATCTCATTGTCTGTATCATCCAACTCTCCATTAATGTTAGGTACTTGCCAGAAGCAGCATCAGCCTATTTTAAGTACTTCTAATAAAACTAAACTAGAGGGTCACATCATTCGATCAGTGCTATATGTGATCTAACTCGTTAATGAAACAGGAGTTATTGCTGTTTGTCGTTGACATGGAATTACATAGCGTGCTGTTGTGCACATAGAAAGAGCGTGTAACTTCAATGGCAATGATCAGTCTTTGGTTTATGTTAACAACATTGTTGCGTTATTGTCAGATGTGCAGAAATATACTTATTGAAGATGCCCTGACCTAGTATGTGTTTGATTGTTTGACAGATGTGCAATGCCAGTCAGCTTGCCCAGTGGTGCCTTGATCTCATTTCCCGTAACTTTGTGGCCTTCCAGCAGCGGGCGGAGTTTAAGAAGCTGGAGGGGGAGAACCTGAAATATGTCACCGAGAACCGCTGGCCTCCTGTGAGCTACCTGGAGGAGCTGGAGAAATACAAGGCTCAATGCGGGGAGAAAGGGGACAGAGTATGAAGAAGGGAAAGTGGCTTATTTTGTTTGATGCACAGTCTGGAAATAAATTTTGCTTCTTGTTGTGTATGTAACAAATTTAGTCTGTATTGCCTAAAAGCTAGTTTTCTTGAAACAAATCATTTAATAATTAACATATATAAATTTTTTATACTGTTATGCACGTGTTATTTTACAATTTTAACAAACACTTGTCATATTTTGAAACTTTGATATTCATTACCCTCTGGAAAACTATGGTTAGAAACGATCCATTTGTTTTAATATTAGAAATGCAATGACCTTGTGTCCTTTTATGAATGGCCATGCTGATGTGGGAAGCGAGGGTTTACATACATGTGATGCATGACATTAGTCTTACAGTATTAACCAGACGAGAGGGCATAATATTTATGTTCGTGAAAAAGGACGTGTATGAATACCCTCCAAATGTAGTTGACAATATTTCCTTTTCTTGTGAAAAAAAGTTTAGCATTATGAATCATGTGAGCTACGGCGTATTTTAGAACAGAATGTAATGCCTTGATTGTGTGAACCATCTTACAGTAATTGTAATGTCGGACTCTGTAAGGATTTGCAAAATGCAGTGCAATACAGTGTATGAAGTACAATGTGGGAAAAATGTAAGGCCTTACAGCCGGAGATGACACAGTGAGTTCATCCACATGAAACTAATGCACGGGACCATTGGTGCATGTGTTATTTGCAGTCATGGTCAAGTCATTTTGACAGAGCCTAAGAATGATTACCGAACGGAATGCCGCTACATGCTGCACAGCCTGGCGTTTTCCATTAATTCCTACACAATGTGAAACCAGTCAGCAGGCTAATTACATACGTGTACTTTTCACGCTGTCATCAGGTCTTGTGCCAGGTCTTTGTTCTCAACTGATGTCTCGGTCTTTGCCTTTTTCGAAACTGGCTTATTGTTAAAAAAATTCTAACAGTAGAATCACCCTTCCTTCAAAGGAAGGTTTAGTACTATTTTTAAGTGCTTGTTCTTTAATTTCCCTATTCCTATTTGTTAAAATCAAAAAAATTAGGAACAAGGACGGGGGGTGAGATTAAGTACTGCCCCTCCCCCAACCGCTGGATATCTATTGCATATTGGTGCTGAAAATGATGTATTTAATAAAGGATTACATGTATGTTAATGAATCTCAGAGTCTCCTGTCAAGAATGTACGACACTCAGGGGCCTCTCTTGACAGCACTGCTGGGGGGAGGACCCTCTCGCACCCCCAACAGATATTGGAGTGTCTTTAAGGATGAAAGTTATTAGCGGTTTGTTGCAGGTCATGAAGTGCAGATGTGCCCCCATTTTGGGGGATTGTGCTCTAGTCTAGTTTTCAAACTTGAAGATCTTAGTTCAGTTTCACAATTTTACTACATGGCCAGCTCGGGCAGAGTTCTTCATGATTTAATATTAAAGTGTCTATTACAGAAACCTTGTGAACACATTCCAGCGATTTTTGGATAATCTTTGGCCAGTCACTTCATTCCCCACAATAGTTCCTGTTTCTTGGATGAGGCAGCCCGGTTGCAGAAACAACCGAGGAGTACTTGAACTGTCATTTTAAAAACACATTCAAGCTTAATCTAAAAAGAGAAGTGGCCCCTGACATTTGTGATGCTTATGTTAAAAGTATGCTGTTACCGTCCCAAGAGTACTCTCGGAGTCATCGGGGATCATTAGTGCAGGTGTCTCTTTTGAATGGAATGCATTGCAAGAATTGCTGGGTGACGGAGCTGAATTCGAATTTAGGTGAGGTTTGCTAAGGTATCATCCCTCGTTGGATGGTACCCTCTTCAAGCCTCCTCTAGTGTTCTCTCTCTGTTGCTCTCTGTCCATGACGCTGGCTTCATGCATATTGTCGTATCATCTTTCCATCTTCTGTCTTCCTCCTCTTCAGCTCCTGTTGGGGCGGCTATTTTAGGGGTTCTGTTAGTCCATCTGTAGTCGATGAACCTTGCTGCATGTTCTGCCCATCTCATTTGCTTTCCGTCACTTGATTGGGGCACACAGCTGCCAATGGTGAACAAGTGTCCATCATCACTGCGACCCTCTTTCTCTGTCAACGTCGCAGAGGCACTTAAGGAATGCGGGAGGCTGTCCATCCATCTCAACCATGGCTACTTGGTGGTTTCCATGCTTTCTCGTACTCTGTACAGATCCCATGTTACTCCCCATTGCATTTGTCCACATTTTACCCATCAAAATTCACAGCTGATAACTGATGAGGATTTTCTTCCCTGTTCCCAAAGACAAAACGATCAACTTTTAGATTTCACTTTTGCCAGTGGACACGCATGTTGCATAAGATTTGGCCATACATGTTATTTATTCTCCAATTTTTGTAAGCGACAGAGGTTATACCCCAGAAAGATATTTTAAAAGGAGTATATGATAGGGACTATATTCAAAACACATTACAGTTATTGTCTGATACAATCACTGGAATTTTATCACTTGAAATGCAATACATGTAGTTTAGAACATTCTAAATACGTCCATGCATACCAGTAATTTATACATGCTAGGACATTTATGTGAAGAGCTGTCTTATTTTATAGTCCCATAAGCTTCGAGAACTTCTAAGCTACATGCAAATTGTGGTAGGCTTTAATTGTTAAATGAATGCCTGGTAAGTAAGAAACTTATTTTTTTCAGGAAGGCGCTTACCGGCAGATCAAACATGCAGCCTACAGAGAACCCTGAATATATGGACTTACACATTTTCATAAAAAGAAGAATATTTTCATGTGACAAAATTGAGGGCTGATGGGGGAAGGAGAAACTCTGTAGCGTACAACAAACAATTTATCCAACACTCACCCACCAAAAGACTTTTAGCACCAAGCTTTCAGCTAGGCAGAAGGCGTACAGGTGTCTTTGGGGTGGATTGTACGCTAATCTGGGTGTCCCATTTTATAATGTTGATAAGTAAAAAGCATCTAACATGAAGAAAACAGGACAATTTCTTTCCAAGTCATCAAGAGGACTTAAGAATCAAATTTTCAAATGTTGTCTGAAACTCTGCTCAATATATGACAGTAGAAAAAACCTCAAATAACAACCAAACGTATATTAATATACTTTTAAAAAATCTCCTTGTTTTACCTGTGTTTAAAAACAAAACTTATGACTCAAGTCAGTCTTCTTCATAGCTTACTTCTGTTAGTTTCATTAAAATATACATTCCAGATACGGTTATTTTTACAGAGTTTAACATCTGCTACTTTGACAATGTACTCTTTGGAGAAAAAAAAGTTCTTCAAAGGTCTTCAGGAACAAATGCATGAAAGCTAGTCGTGGGTAACATTTTTAGGAATATACCAACGGTAATGCCTTCAGTATGTGAGATGCATTGAGGCAAAACTGGCAGTCCCAAAAAGTTGAGGTAAGAAATGATACGGTGACCTCAAATTGCATGATGCTGATTCTAGATTGGCAGGATGGAGAGTTGAGCTTGGCAAGTGGCAAGCAAGTCACCCTTTTTTCCTCCAATTTTTTTAAATTACAATATCTCTTTTTACAATAGATGTTCTGCGTTAAGACGTCTCAGATGGCAAGAGTTTCGTATCACTGGGATAGGCTGAAGTGAACCTTTTGTACATTCGTTGACTAAACCTGAAATAACAAAAACAGCTGGAGATACCATGGAGACCCCACCCAAGCGTTTCCCCTCGACATGTATTCTCCAGTGAGCTACAAAACAGTGCATTATGACTTGTACAATTACTCCTTGTTTTTTTTCTTTCACTGAACTTTGCACCTTTCATCTTTCTTTCCATATTTGGCATTGTATTTCTCCAGCGCTTCCAGGTAGCTCACGGGAGGCCAGCGGTGCTCGGTGATGTATTTCAGGTTCTCCCCCTCCAGCATTTTAAACTCCGCCCGCTTCTGGAAGGCCATGAAGTTACTGGAGATGAAATGGAGGCACCACGTGGCCAGTTGGTTGGCATTGTGCAACTGTGTGAGAGAGATGTAAAAAGTGTTGCTAGGCGAGCTGCTATATTACTAACCAGAGACATGGGGGAAACAAGGTTGTTAGAACCTGGTAGAGGAATCTTTTGTTCTCAGCTTGTGGAAAACAATTTAGGTCGACACAACGTCACAAACACAACATACATGGTGCTCATCTTTTGAGGCCAATTCACACTTCAGGCCAATCTGAAAGTGAATTTGACGTCAAGAAACTTTTGCAGGGAAATTTGCTTCCGTTGAAAGATTTTCAACTTTTGCTACTCTGCTACACGAAGATCTGATCAAATTGTATTTGTGTTAACCTTTGTGCCGACCAGAAACCGGCCTTTATGAATACCACATGGAAAGATATTTATGCAAAACAACCTTACTATTCATACCTTTGTTGTAATACTGTGAGGTCAAAGGTCACTGACACCACATAGACAATTTTTAAAAATGCCGGAAAGTCAGGTGGGCCGGACTGAAAAAAAATGCTACAACTACCTCTGCATCAGCAACAAACACATTTTTCATAAATGCTAAAACATAATGAAAAATAGTGAAAAATTGGAATCACAAGTACACAAAGCTACAGCATAGGCTACAAATGCTTTTTTTGGGGGGAGAGGGGAAGTGGGAAAGCAAAATTCACACCGTTTCAAATTTTGGGTGGATGAAATCTCCCTTCAAAAACCATATGCAATGTAAGTGAGCAATGATGAAGGATAACCTACCTGAGCTGTATGCAGCAATCCAATGACATCCACATGCGCCTCTGCAATGCAGTTTGCTACAGCCACATCTACCCCCTTGGTGATGTACAGCTCACAGAGATTTCTCAGTCGATCTTGGCCATACCGATCAGCAGCTACAAGGATCCCCACGGCATCACCCTCCTCTATAGGGGCGTGGTCAGTGTACAGGTACTCCAGGAGGGCCAAGAAACACTCCAAACTCACGTCTTCAATTTTAATCTAAACACCGTGAAAAACAAACAGATATATGGAAATTAGGTAAAACACCATAAACACAGCATAGCCTTATGTCTATCACCACAGCTTGAAAAGTTTGGCTCATCTTTTCCAGTGTACAATTCTCACAAAACCTTCAGCGATATTTCAAATGTATGACACCATATAAGTTAAGTGTTGGTCTCGTGATTCAAATGAAGAATCCAAAGCTGACTGACAAAAGTGTCCTAAATGATGAAGCCTTTGTGAAGTCTGCCCATGCAATTTTGTGTGCTCAGTAAATTTTGAAAGAAAGAATTCTAACTGAAACCATCCTAAGAAATCCTTGTGTCAGGATTTTATCGTTGCATACTTCTTGTCAAAAGACACTTGGTTTAAAGTTCTAATTACTTAATTTTTAATACCATTGTTTTTATTCTAACTTAGTAGAGTAAAAATTATCAGGACAATTTTAGAGTTTTTTATAATTGTGAGGATTTTTCTCATGCAAAGGGAAATGTGCTATATATGAATAAATTATGATTACCTCATCTTTGCTGCTTTCTTGGAAGAGGCCGCTGAACATTCCAGCCATGAATTCACAGCGGGAAGTCAACATCATCTTGTGGGCATAAACTGTTGTCTCTGTGCCATAAGAGGAAGAAATGTGTATGTAGTCATTTTACGGAGTTTTCCTGAATTTTGTAGATAGAGTGAATTTCCCTTTCTGGATTTGGTTCACGTGGCTGCGTTCTTGAGAGTCAGCGGCAATTAACACCGTCAACCTTTCTCATATTTAACAGTTACTCCAAAACTAAGACCAAAACTGTTCTCACAGACCGGGTCTGGCCAACTAATGATATTTACCTTCAACTTTGAATCGGACATCAGACAGTGCCTGTTTGTTCAGGAACAACCACTTGGCCCTCTGTCCTGTCTGGTCATTCAGGTAGGTTCCAATGCTAGGATTCAGGAACTCTTCTTCATTCTGCAAGTTCTTGGCGATGGTGTCGAGCTCGGGGAGGCGGAAGGTGCTGGATGCTTTCCGCAAAGCCACCAGGTCTTCCACACTGGCATCCTCCATGATGTTAGGGAGGCCTTCATACCATCCAAAGTATACAAAATATAACAATCAGCAATTATGACAGTAAAATAAGTCTATGGATTTGGTAGAAACTACTGGTTTCCAATGTAAGCAGTGAGGAACTCACTAACTCGCTTTTGACAACCAGATGTATTTAGATTCCTCTCAAGAGGCCAGTGTAGTTACTCACGACTACTTCAGAGGCATCAAAAGTGGTCCAGTCTTAATATATGCTAAACGCTGTTTATAAGAACTGTAAGAAGAACACACCTTTTATTATTTGAAAATTCGAAATCCCAAAATTGTCATGGTTACCATGAAATTTTCGTGAAGAACTCAAATAGAATATTGCAATCTACTTCATTTTGTATCTATATAGCCATGTTAACCCTAACACTCCTCAGTCCTCCAACAGGTGAAGGATTGGGGAGGGTTAATATCAAATAATTGTTAGCAATGGGCTCTGACCTTCATGAGTGCACATGCAATGATATGTAATCTGCAGATGGTTTGCACCGACACAAACTTCCTTAGTCTGTGAACTTAGACATCGCTGTCATCTATCGCTACAGCTACTCACTGTGGCAACGCAGACAGGCAAAGATGGCAGAATGAGCAGGTTTATGGGAGTTGTGACTGTAGTGACTTCTAGTAGTCACTAACGCGGTCATCTTACATAATTGAATTACAGAACCAACTGGCCTCAGCTGGCTGGCTCGTGTGAATGCAACACAAAACAATCTTTGTTCAAGATGACGTCAAAAGTTTAAACACGTTTTGTCTCAGCACTGTATCGCCCTGATAAGGGCAATTATCACTTGGTAAAGGTGTACAATGTACTCTGGTAAGTGAAGAGATCGTGGATCTCACCTGTGTACAGAAACTCCAAGACATGGCGGAAGGTCTTGTAAGAGATGTCTGCACTGATCATCACCTTGGTTTTTGCTTTCTCAAGCAGGCCGCTGTCTGGGGTCACTTCATCGAGGATACCAGCTAAACCAGCGATCTTGCCCTCGTTGATATCCTCCCAGGTAAAGTTCCAGACTTTGGAACCGCTTGACGTTCCCTAAAGACAGAGAAAGAAGATGCCACAACAAGAATCTTGGAATTACTCCATGATACTGTGAGAACAGTGGAAGTCTGTGATACTGTGGGTACACAACCAGCGTGTGTGTGTTACGACATACCCAATCCCATCTTGTAAACAACCCCTGCTACATAAGTCAATGGAGACGGTTGTACCCAGATATCTCTATATGGTGGTGTCTCGTGGTGTCACCAGAAATAACAGTTGCCTAGCTGTGAGTAGTGTAACACAATTATATAGCACAGATGCTGCTCATGAGTCAGTTTTGCCGTGTTTGATTTCATTTTGAAAGTTGGCTGCTTTGGTCTTCTTTATTTCTTACAATGGTGTGTTTCAGCCTTGAAAAAATACTTGAGCTGGGGTTGGTTCACCATGAAAGAATCCTGGTATAAAACAGGTGAAATATGACAAACCTGGTCTGGTGGTTTTAGGCCAAAGACGCGACAGAAGTAGTTGGAGGCACTGCAGAGTGCTAGTTTGTGGGCCAAGATGCTCTTCCCTTCAACGATGAAGATGACGTCAGAGAAAGTTGGCTGCTCCAACGCCTTGCCAAAGTCACCTGCCATGGTTGAGGTTTGGATTTCAATCCAGGGTGCTTTACCTTGAGATCATAAAACAAATGGAAAACACTATATAAATAAACACAGCTACTGGAAAAAACATTCAGTAGTATAACACTGGATTAACTTTGAGCATTGAATTTTTTTGAAAGTCTTCTCTGTTAATGACAGCGATTTACAATTTCAATAACTTACACTCTAACTTAAAATACCAAAGTTTCTTTCCTTGTACATGTACATGTACCACAATGCAGTGTAACACCCCATGCTCGACCTAATCTTCCTCATTTAAAAAAATTTTATATTGTATTTTAATGATTTTACTCAGCAATAAAGAGACACTTCTTCCAACCAGAGTTTCGGGGATTCGAACCTGGAACCCTAAAATACAGCAGAGGCACACTACATCTTGGGCTATCGAGCGCTGTCCGGGTGGTCATGCAGTTTGTAAGTGTGTTTTGAAGGGGGATTAGTCAAACATCAATTATACTGATTCCCTGAGACAGTTGAGCCATTCTGATTGGTCCAGAACCTATCAAAGGACGGGATTGGGACAATGAATTTTATGGCATTGTCACGACATGAATTTTCAACCAAAGAAGTCGATAATGGGTCGAGCGGAGATCGGCTCCCACATTAGTAAGAAATTGTGAAGCTCAACTTTGAAGACTCTGACACATACAAGTGTTTATAAATCCCCTCATTTTTATTATTAGCTCGGAGGAGACCTGTCTGGAGACCACAAACAAGCCCCTTCTACAGGAGGTATTGAAACAACTTCGAATTGCCCAATCTCACCTGCTGGGGGCATCTCCGGAGGTCGGGGTACACTGCTTTTCCCGCCAAAGCTGAAAATTCCAAAGCCCTTCTTCAGTTTGGCCTTCGTCCCTCTATTAGACACAGACATATAAACCTGGAATGATAAAAAAAATGGAGCCACCTGGAATGATTACAAGCAAAAGGGACAGCTAGAATGATAGAAAACAGAGGGAATGAAGATGACTGCTCTCATTTCTTCCAAAGTCTATTCTCTACACGTACGTCCTGTCACAACGTACTTGAACACAACTTCCACAAATATTGGACAAGTATAGGCAAGTGCTTTGACATTTTTTCACATTGGAAATGTGCAACTGCCACAAGACAAAACAGAGAGCGCTACACGTGCATTGTGTAATGAGATAATTTCACTGATATGTTTGTTTACAACAAAAAACTTAACTGTCCTTAAATTCTACTTCGGCAACATCATGTACAAGGCATACATTTCAGAAGGTCCACTGAAGACTTCTTGTGAATTTTACTCACTGCCTTCTCGAAGCAGTTGTTTACGTTTGTTCTCTCCAGTGCACTTGTCTCCATGTAATCCAAGTTGAGTTTCTGGGACAACTTGAAGCCCTCGTCAAATGTGATACAACTATTTGTAGACCTCCCACGGAGATCTGCAAGAGTAATCCATGGATTAAATTTTTGTCAAGCGTTGATTTACATTGCCAAAAAAAATTAAAAACAGAACAAACTTGCACAACAAATCCCAAGTCAACTTCTCACAAGACGTTACCCAATGACTTACAGTATTAAACCCTTTAACTGTTGAAGATTTTTTTGAGGCAGGAAAACCAGCTCTCCTTATGAACATCACTATGATTAATCTTATCATTTCCAGTTATGGAAAATACGTGTGATTCCTGGGAAGATTTAAAACGATGGTTATAAAAACATGCCTCTTAGAAAAAGAGAAAATCATACTCACGCTTATGATTACAGTGTATTGCGATACATGCAGGGATGAATCCCATTCCATCCCATCATGCACAGCGATAAACACTTTATGTCATCGGTGCATGGGCTTACAGCTTCTGAAATGTACATTTTTTCATCTGCCCCCCCGTGTACCGAGTTGAAATTTTCGACCACCGACATAACTCTTCTTTGCTGGTCAAAGCGGACAGCAGTGGTCAGGCCCCCCAGTTTCATTTACTGTTTTTCTGCAGAATCTACCAGTATTGCAAGACATGTTGGAGATATCCCATCCAGCATTCAGTCTCCAGGGTTCATGACTGTTTCTTGACCGAGTTATTTTATATTTAACCAGCTCCTTCTTCTGCACAGTATGGCAGCTCCGTAAACTGGTCGAAGCTGCCTCTGTCCTTTCTACTTACCTATCTTGGTTGCAACCAGAAGGATCGGAGTACAAGGCATATGATATTGAATCTCTGGAATCCACTTGGTCGCGATATTTTCAAACGATGCTCTACTCTCGACAGAGAAACACAGCAAGAAGATGTCAGCTCCTGGATAAGACAGCGGACGCAGTCGGTCATAGTCCTCCTACAGACACACATACATGAAAACCATCCGGTGAAATCGATGAAACTGAGACCATAAATGACGCCCTGTTTTGTTGTTGCTATGTCAACATCGACGATTACAAAAGTCATACCTGTCCAGCGGTGTCAAAGAGTCCTAGGTTGTAAGCCTTTCCTGCAACCATAACACTGTTGGAATAGTTGTCAAACACCGTGGGGACATAGTTGCTAGGGAAGGAGCCGGTGGTGTAGGAGATGAGAAGGCAACTCTTCCCCACAGCCCCGTCGCCGACAACTACAAGCTTCAAGTTCTGCATTGCTGGGGATACGAATGAGAAGCGACGGGACAAGAAATTAACAAATGTGGTTAAATCCAGATCCGTGTTGTCTATGTGAACCAGCGGTACCAAGTGTGTCTGTACACTCATTCCATGTTCGGCAACCCATGGTGATGTTTGATTACAGGAGTCATTTGGCAAAATTGAATATTAATTGTGATTAATTCATTGTGACCTGCTGTGAAAAAAGGGTATACAGTTGAAACCAGATAAGAAGAACACTGTCAATACAAGGTCATGTTTATAACAAGGACAAGTTTTGGCTCTAAGTCTTTGTTTTCCATTACTGATAATACAAGGAAACTATTCTAACAAGATAATTTGTAAAGTACCAAGGACTTTGTTCTCACAGTGTTCCTCTGTACCTGCTTCAAAAATGACCAAACTGAGTACGTGCATGGATGGAAAGCACACAATGTAAGCTTTTATTTGGTATTGGCAGAGCTCAATAGCCTGTTCTGTTCAGGAGAAACGGGAATGAAATTTTTTTTAAGCTTGATTTAAGCATGGAGGAAGAAGAGCCCAATTTAGAACCCTCCAAATTTTTAAATTTAATAATTGTGCATTTCTGGACATCCAGGAGGTAGATTTATTTCATAAAAATTGGAAGCCATTTCACATTCATTGGCTGCTTGTTTTTAAATCAAGGTATTACTGTTCAAGAATTGAAATGCAGCACCCGAGATGTTCAACCTGGTGGCCAGATTTTAAAGCTGGGTGGCTAATTTTAAACCTGGTTAAACCAGCCAAACTGGATTGATCACCAATCCATATTTCAATAGCCTCAAGGACACTTTTTCTATTAGTTTTGTTCTGTTCTGTTGGACAAAAAGCTCAATGATGTAAATTAAGACAAATTCCTCATTAGAAAAAAAATACTGCTTAAACACCCGTCTATGAATTATAAAAATCATTGGACTTACATGTACATCTATGATAAGAGGTACATGGCATAAAATGATCATTTTCAGAGTCTAAGTTCAACATCTCTTGTTTTACTTTTCATCATGTGCGTGCTGGTTGATCTGTATATATTTGTGTGATCTGTCATTCTTAATGCACATTTTGCCACTCTTTCTGTCATCTGCCAATCGCCTTTTTCTTTCTAATTCGCAGTTTGTGGAAGATAAGTTTCAAAGAAGGGAAGTAAAGTCGGAAGATTTCATTGAATTGACTTAACTAATAATGCAATGTGATTGCACAAGTGGGCTGATCGACGGATTACATTCAACCTATATGCATGCAGGTATACATGTGAATTCCACACACAGTGCACGCATATGTACATGTACATATTGCTGGGAGCTTTTAACATTTATCAACATGCACATATCATATATTTTGAAAGAGGTGTATGGTACTCCAACATAATATGAATCACTTACGTGCTTCAGCCTGAGAAATTCACCTTCTCTTCAACACTTTTCAACTGATAACAGCCTGCTTGTAATTCAAACTTCTACCTAAGCAGATCGAGTGAACACTAGCTGGTTTTCCGTCTGAATATTAAAATACTAAGAATGTGACGACTCCGGATAGGAAGTTAACAGGGAAGGAAATGCCTCATAGGTGAGTCACAGGTTTCTTTCATTGGATATGCTGGCCAACGTGTACAGTGTCTCATAGTTTAATCATCGTGTTGATCTACCAATGCCACATGTGATCTACACAAACAGGAACAGGTCTTAACACCTGTCAATGATATCACAGCTCAGTGTGCTGTAACAAGAAAGTTTCTGTACTGAAACTTTCTTGCAGCATAAAATTTTGCACAGCTAACTTTAATAATGAATGCAAATGGCATTAAAACATTACATTAACTAAAAAATGAAACCCTTTCCGTGTGTTTGGCCGTTGGAAAACTTGGGATTTTTTTCGGGGGGGGGAGTATACATGCTTTGACATCAAGTGTGGGAATGATAAGACATTCTCTCATCTCAGTCTTAGCACACTGTGTACCAAAAGACACTTTTCATCAAAAAATCATCCAATTTACAATTTTCAAAACTCTCATTTTATCCACCATGAAATACCTGAAGAAAATGTCTTCCGATTTGTCATGCAGTTGACAGTTTCAATACTATAATAGTGCAGGATATATCCTCGTTGTAATGGACCTACCGATAGTATCCCACATCTGACCTGGATGGAAAACTGAGCCACCTTTCATGCTACCCTCAGAACTGTGGGGTCCGACGTCCGCCCTGTTTGTGGGAGCGGGACGAACATCAGACCCCACAGTTCTGCGGGTATTGTAATACCTGTTGGACATTTTGAAATCCTGGAAAAATCCTCCCATTTGTCCCAATATTTAATAAGATCTTTTGTTTTGTCTCAATTACTTGAAAAAAATTAAGAAATTATGTTTCTTATGTTTTTTTTTTTATTTTTTGGTAGTGTTTTCCATCTTCAAGCTTTTCACAAGAAGGCCTAATAATTATTTCAACTTTGTGAAAAATGGACAAATTCTCATAGAGCAAGGAATGGGATGGGACAACCATGACAAGAATTACACGAGACTTGAACTTTGAAAATGAAACTAACTTGGGCCACACATCATGCTTAGCACGCTTAGCCTTAGGCTTGTGAGGTTTTTTGACACGTTAAATCGTCTGGTCTCCAGTGCTACTTACTCACCCAATCTGTTTCCTTTTGACTGGACGGAAGTTCTCGATAATTTCTTCTAAGTGTTGTGCTTCAGGTTTAAGCACAGGGGCCTGCACATCTTTGCTGTCGATGTCCATGATTTTCCTGTGTTTTTATAAGAGGGCTGCTTTGATCTAAAAATAGACAGCCCACTGTGTGGAAGCCCCGTGGATGACGTTATTCTATTTTTATCGCAGAACGCTGGTGTGCAAAGACTACAACATAGAAAACTGCGTCTTATAGGAAACCAGTGAAATAGAAACGACTTTACGAAGTCCCTTGTTTATCGGAAATCGGGGAAAATTAGAACTAATGGAGGGCGCTACCATGAAGACACGTTTAAGCGAAGCTCGTCAGGAGTTTCCAAGTCGGCTGCGTCGATCACGTCCATTCAGGCTCGCCTGATTCTTATTTTCACAGCTGGCCCAATTTGGCAGATTTTGATTTTGTTACAGCAATGAGTTATTTTCCCTTTAAAGAACGTATCGACGCGCTTTGGGCAATGCGATCCAAATGTTACAATTTGGAGAATTTGTTTGGCTATATTTTTCGAAACATCTTGGTTTCATTGGAGTAATTTATAAAAAACTTCCCGGTCTGTTTTGTGAGTGAAGCCAACCCCCCCCCCCGACAGCCAAAAAACTTGCCCAACAACCTTCAGTTAATTCGTAATACAGTTGCAACATTTACACCCAGTAGTCTGTTTTCAATATTACTGTAGGGTACTTTTTGCTTCCATTACGAGGTCCGATGACAGTACAGTACACAGCAGACCAGACACTGTGTCATCACATGAATTATTCATTTTATTTCAAACCAGTCTAAATTCTCCTTCAGCCCATGATATATACTACCTTTAAGCCCACATTCTGCCATCTTCCTTCCTGCACACAAGCTTTGTTTCATTCCCTCACCCAAAGTTTTCCTAGAATATGAAATTCTTTACCGCCACTTATCAAGGACTCACCTGTTCCCGACTCCCTTCCTCAATTCCTTAAGGCCCTCAAGCAGGCTTTCTTATCACACTTGTAATTCAATCTATTCTATTTTTTCTGGCTGTCATTTTGATCACCTGTGTGGGGACCGTTGTTGTTGTTTTTGTTTTGCTCTGTATAATTTGCCTTGTAAACATTATGTGCGGGTAATAGTAGTTTATTTTACTTTTGCAGTCCCTGACCCACATAGCCTAACTGTTATTTGTCTCGTTATATATTCGGATTTTTGTCCCTGGTCCCTGCTTCTGCTTATATTTACTTGCATGTGTGTTTTTGTTTTTTTTTATATACTTTTTGTTCTATTTTGCTTTGTTTGCTCTTGTGATGGTCAAATAAATAATAAAAGTGATAATTAAGGTTCATTGTATAGGCTAGCACTGCTCGTAGTGTTTTTTTTGTGTGTGTGGGTCCGTATGGAAGAAGTGTTGTGCATATCCGGCCAGTAGCGTATCAAGCTTTTGTTGTCGGGGGGGGGGTTCAAAACGTGTATTTGATAAATAATATACAGATTAATTTCTTTCCTAGTGCGAACCTATGAAGTAATCTCAGCTTTAAAAAAAGTCTGTCGAGGGGCAAGTTTCCCTCTGCCCCCTGCAAAAACGTACAAGAACTTGATAATGGCCAACAGAGTTTTTCCTATTCATCGTCGGAGGGCACTTCACGTGAGCCTAGGCCTTCAAGTTGCTAAGAGCTTTGAAATGATCTTCAATTTGATGTCCGTCGTCTTTTGCTCTAAAGATTTCATGCTAAAATTGGCGGTTTTGAGGGCTCTGTTGAGTGAATTAGGTTTACATTTTAAAATTCTGCTTTAAAAGTATTCAAAATTGTCGTCTTTCCAAACACTGTTGCATTTGAAAAGCAACATACTAAAACACACAATAAGCAAACAAGCAAACAGACTATAAACAAAAACGTCAATGGGAAAAGGACGGGTACCCTGTAGTGTTCTGCCGCCGTTTCCAAATCGAATTCCCGGTGTCCACTCCATCAAAGAGACGCACGATTATTGGCACTGTTTGCTCATGTGGAGATGACATAACGGCAGCGACACTTGTGACGCGAGGACTGCAAACTTGCTGTTTGCTCATCGATGGGACAAGTATTTTCTCCCCACCCCCTTTGAGTGAAGTCTCACCCCGTCCTGCCACCTCGGTGTTCATGATTGAAGGAAGTCTAGGGAGACTACATCGTTGTGGCATGGAAGAAAGGTTGATAACGGCTGTTTGCGTTGGCTGGCAGACATTGTACAGTGTCTGTGATGTATCTTAAATGCGGGACGGGATTATTATGCAGTGCACATGTAGTCTGATCAAAAACAACGAAATTAAAACGACTAGTAAAGTTAATCAATGGCATAACTCGAGGCACGCCCCCATGTGCCCAAGAAATTAGAGAAGGAACAAATCTGCTGACGGTCAATGTTTTAACTGTGACCGAACCCATCGTCTCATTGTCTCGTTCCTGTATATAAATTGTACAGCCCTTGTCCTTGTCAGTCCCAGGTCGGGGTACAAAAGCTTCACCACTTACCTAGATGTTTTCCTCTGTTTTCGTGCTCTAGTGTAAATGTTATTTGTCCTGCGTAATAATTCCATTGTTTAAATGCATATTGTGAATCTAAAGACGTGCATCCTTGTCTGTAAGTATAGCAATGTACTACCTATGTGTCTTTGTGTGGCAATGTTGAAATAAATGTTGAATGAAAAACATGCCCTCCCCTCTAGAATATAAGACCCCTCCCCATATGCACAGTTTGTGCCTGGGGCCTACAAAAAGGCAGCGAAAAACGTCAGACCCTGTATACGAAAATATATACAGTGTTCCATAAATCACATCTGCGCAAACGTAGGAACAACTGTTACAATTTTAGGTGTCATTCTCTGAATTTTCGATCATGGAAAAGCCTCAAACTAGCCGCTACTTAGCTGTGTACAGATTAGCATCAAAATGAGATGCGATGTTTCAGCCCTGTTAGTACAACCATGCTTCATGACATTGGGGATGGAACCTAGAAAGAAATGTCCCAAATGCCGAGATTTTAATGATGATAAAATAATTCCCGACACCCCGTTTATTATAGAGCTCTTACTTGGGCTGATCCAAATCCTGTGACCTGTGATTGCCTGGGCTTCACCTTGCAGAAGTGGACATCAATCGAAACGAATACAACAGAATTAATTAAAAAGTGAAGCAGTACAACTTTGCACTTATTGGGACCTCCGAGAGGCCACAGAGTGACAAGTTTCGAAATGTATAAATAACAGTTTTGTGTCTTCAAACTGATACACAGAACAGCCGCCAGAAATGTGCAAAACAAACTGCAAAGATGATGACGACGACTTGGCTCATCATTACAGCCAATGGTGCGAGGCTACGTACACAGAGACAACACCTCAACACCTGCGTATGGCTTTGTTGCGAACCACATCTGTTCAAAGGAGGAATGGCACCGAAAAGGAAATATCTTTTGCTGTAAAGTTTCATTACTGGTACATTATGAGAATATAATTTTTCCTGGAACAAGGTATCCAGTGTCTTATAGTTTTAAAGGGAAAATTAATATCGGTGTCCAAACGGGTCTTTTATTATGGTTGTGTTGTTTGAAAGACCGATAGACACACATCTTCCATTCACATTTTGCGTTAAATCTTTATGAGTCAGAAAACAATTCTGCGATAAAATGTGCCGTATACAAATTTTGGATTAGTCAAACTTAGACTGGATCCACAATTCCGTAAGGTTACTGTCGGTATTTAGGCCTGTATCATGGAGTCTAAAATATACAGGGTTAGCGAAAACTGAGAGGGGGTTCAGACCACTTGCAATGGCTTCAAGTACACCGTGTCTCGATCCATCCAAGTCTGGCTTCATGTCGTCAGTCAAGTCAATGATGCAGCCAAGCCCAAGAGTATTACACATTGCATGCCAATCCCAATCAGTCCGACTGGCTTGCCACTCTAGGTAAGGGTTGCTGTGAATAATTCGGTGAGTTTGGAAAAGATGCCGACATGGGCGTAAATTCCGGGAATGAGGTGGGGTATGTACAACAGCACTTTTTGGGATGGGCCATTGAATCACCCCCCCCACAAATTTTTGAGGGGTGAAAAAATTAAGGCGACTTGTGAAGAATTTTTCTAACTTGTCAACAACCAAAACGTATTCAATGCCACTCAAAATGAGAAAACGATAAAAGACCATAAATATGCCATTCCGATGTAATATTCTTAAGGGGTGCAATGTACATCTGTCTCGTACCCCCACCTTTCCCAACCCTCGACCCCAATTTCTGGCACGAATTTGCGCCACCGGATGCAGACAATCCCACATGCCATTGTGCTTCCTCTGCTAACGTCTAAAGCTATATTCTAATTTCTGGTATACTTTTATCTTAAAAATGCAAATGCCACCTTTGATTTATCAGAGTATAAACAGTAACACTTGGTTACAGTGCATAGATCGAATAATAAAAATGATGTCAAACGAAAACAGTTTACCAGAGCTCGCGTGTTGAAATTCAGATAGGGGGTCTCAGAAGGACCAAGTGACTGATTTTGCACTTTTGATTTGGTTTAAAATTGGGGGGGGGGCTCCGACGGTTCATCCGCTAAGGGATTATGGGCGGAGCAAGCTGGAGCCTGCAAGTGGGTGGTGTGGGAGGTTTCACTGTGAACCACCACAGACGCCGCTCCACTTGAAAAGAACATCAGCTTTATGTAGGCCCTTCAGAAAGTGTGAATTGTTTCTGTGCGACGAGGGCTAGTCTAGGTCCGATTCTACAGAGAAATGCCGATACCCACACAGTCTGATTCCGACTCCACACATAATTATTATATCAGACTGAGACCCTGTCGCCATTCCCCCTAGGCCGTCTGCTCTCTGGTTTGCTGTCGGTCTCAAGCGTTCCTATACAAATCGGCCCCTTTGCTTTCATTCCCGACCTTCTTAGAGCTATTGTGGGGATCATGCCCAATCCCTAATCATCTCACTCATGTCGGCCGTGTACTACTAATCATGCTCCCCGCATAGGTATCAATGACAGTGTTTACAGATCGACTGACTCCAACCAGATAGCTCGTCGTCTCCAACAACAGCCTTAATCTGACTGACTTTTTGTGCTCGTTAAGTGGGTAAAG